GGAAAGTACTTACCTTGCGCTTGCCGCATTCATCCACGCGACAGTAGACCTCACCGTAATGAATCTGAACCTCACCACCCGCATTCTAAGCAGTTAGCAAGCACTTGTCAAGTAGTTAGAAAGTAGTTAGAAACTCACGGTATCAAACTCAGGCAACTTGAGGTGCCCGGCTTCGACTTCACGCAAGTACCACACGTACCAGGACTATTTCATTCGAAATTTATCAGTTTTTCATCAAAAAATCACTTTGGAATCACTTTCTTATCATACAAATGATAATAAGCAATAAATAAGACCTTAATAAGCAGTTATACTTACATTTTCGCTCAGTTGAGCCATGGTTGCGGATGTGGGGAAGAAGAGGGAAATGATTGGTGGTGGGAGGTGTGGTGTGTAAGTGTACTGAAAAAGGTGATGTGGAATGAAATTTTCTGTTTGTGTAGGTAACAGGGTCGCTTGGAAGTCACATGATCAAACTGCTTATTAAGCAGTTTTCGTTCCACGCGACCCGAAAAAGCAGCACAGCTGATCTGCAACCACGGATTGTCTTGCTCGATCCGGTATAGCGTTCCGTTTCCTATCAGTTCCAGCTTGTCTCGGCTAAATAAGGTACTACCAGTAGATATGAATCTTCGACTTTTGTTTGAGAGACTGGGAGGCTGAATCAGTCTTGAATCTAATGGGTATATTGCTAGTGAGACCGACGATGGCACGTACAGTGCCACTGTTAAGCTACCTTGAGTTGAAAAGAAAGAATCACGTGGCTTTCTCCAGCTACTGAAGTTTCGAAGACTCTGGAGATGAGCATCCAGTGCATGTACCGAGGCCAACGACTTATGCTGCTGAACCAGCAAGTGCAAGTGTATTAGCTGAATAGTGTTGATCCAAACTCCCGAATTCAATTGCGATCAACATGGGGAAGCGGATAGGCGGTGAGGCGCTCGCCGCTCGGATTCAACCGGGAGTCCAGCAAAGCGCAAAGATTCGTTCCTGAGTCACTCCGGAGTCGCCACTCCGCCGCCGATGACTCTGATGGCAAACAGTACGCTGCGACATGGCTCGGCGGACTTGCCTTTACGCGGTCTTACACTTGCTAGGGAGGCGGCTCAATTGACTTGGTCAATTTGGCTTTTTTTTTTTTTTTTACGAAGGAGAATGCTCTTTGAAGGTGCGGATCACTGGACAAAATAGTCCAAGTGACGGTCAAATGGTATATTCTATAATTCGTGACGTTCGTGCCCAAAACAAATGCAAAATGTCTAGCATGCATGCAGAAGAATCCAACCAAATATCGATATATGCAGTCGTCTATGAGTGAAATTATAATGTGTAATGTCGGTGCCCGACGGCACGTCTTCCCGGTCGATTTTAGCTGTACTCCAGCGGTGGAGTGGATAAAGGCGTTGGGTCTGAGTGGAAAACCGGCTTGTCGGTTGTGGGGGTGAGATTAGGTTTCAAATCTTCTCAGATTGGCGCCAAAAGCTCATCGAGCGGTATGCGCGACTTCAAAAAATGATCATGCTGCAGGAGGTGCTGCAGGACACGCTGGTGGCGCACTGCAGCAGCATGCGAGTCCGATGAGTTGGTGTCGCAGAGGGTCGAGGTATGTGCATGATGTTGTACTAAGCAACTTGCCCAATTGTAGGCATATTTCAGCCACTGGCACATGCGATGGGGACGGCAGAGGCTTGAGCCAAGCCCTTGTGGTACCGATCTGCAAGCTCCTCGCACACGCCCCAGATTCGTCGACGGTTTGCGACCCCAATGAGGTTCGCATCATCCATTCCGTACCGCGCGGTGGTCAATTTGTCCAGCCAAAGATACAGCTGCTTGTAGTTGACCTCGTCGTTCAACTTTTGTCCCTTGCTGGCCTGCAGCTCCCAGAACCAAGGCATATCCCACTGCATGAATTTCTTCCAGAAAAGATTGTCTTGAGTAACGAGGTGAACGCTCAAAGAGGCCTGAGCAAGAGATTTCAAGTCGTCGCCAGGGAGGAACATGCAAATCTGATGTACGAGCTCGAGTGGAAGTTTGCCGAACGGACTGGCGGGGCATCGTTCACGAAGGTCAATCTCAGCAGAGGCGATTTTGAGCTTGCTGTTCGATTCCATGTTTGTTTGGATATATGCAGGGAGTGCGGGGGTGTCCGTCGGGTGGGTTGCGCAGTACTATGGAGAAGACAATCAGTGGGATAATTGGAATACGACGACTAGAAAATTCTCTTACCTCTACGCCTGGGATACACTCCCAATAGCGCCCTTGAGCGCGCTGAATATCCTCTCCATAGCTCAAATCCAACGCGGAGCTCTTCATGTTGCAAAGAGGACTCATGACATTGTAGAGAACGTCCAGGTTAACCTTCTTGGTGTCCTTGGAGCCGGTAAGGGCGTGGGTGAGAATTTCGAAGCAGCACCAGTGAAAGGGAAGGACGGGACCCGGCGCCTCGTCCGAGCCTTGGCCATAGCACGAGTAGACTTTCTGGCTGGATCGGCTCGAGTTGGAACCAGTCTTAACAACCAGCTCCCCAACATCTGCGTAATATCCTTCATCCGAGAGAAATGCCTTGGCCGAGCCCATAGTAGCGTTCTGGTTCATACCGAGACAATGTGCTTTGTAGAGCCAGGAGATGTTCTCCCACGCAACAATGCGAGGGTCATAACTGCGAACAGGATTCGCGTCTTCTTCGCTATCGCGTGGCAGCTGGGCAAGGTTTTCCCCAGCCTGGAGGGCCCGACAACGCTTCTCGATCCATCGGCGGCGGCGTTCCAGCGCCTCCTCCGACGGGGGTTCAATGTGCATGCCACAGAACCCAACACCACAAATGGCACAGTAGCAGTCAAAGGCCATGGTGATGCGAGTTGTATGGGTGGGTGACAAAGAGAGAAACAACAATGCAAAGAGATGGAGGGTCAATTCATGGGAGCGAGTGGAGGAGGCGAGCTGGTACTTATAAGAAAGGATGGAACTACCGATTGATTATCGAGACGGGGCCCACCGCGGGCTCGGAAGGGGCCAAACACAGGCCGCAATCAGGGGCAGAACCGCCGTTTAGCGACCCCATTCGGCAGCTCCAGAAATCTCTGCGCCGACGATCAGACGACCTAAAAATACTAGCTGTGATAAATTCAATCCGTCGACACCAATACTGTCAATCAGCAATGTGGTTGGTAAACTGCTTACGAGTACTCCATCCAAGTCGCTATTGCGGCTGCCGCTGGGGGCAACGGTGAGTTGGCAAAAAGGATGGGACGCGAATTGCAGTAGCTGCAGGCCATTGCTCCACCCGGGCACGGGTGAGAGAGAGAGAGAACTGGAAATCAACAAACAGACAGTCAACAGTCAAGACAGGCATACTGAGATAGGCGATGTTTCCACCAGCTTCTCAGTGATGATTCCCGGGACTTCCTAATCCTTCTCGGGATTGCAAAAATAGGCATGGATATATTGACAGATATGAAATCCGGAGAGGTCACGCAGGCCTGTTAGCGGCAATTAGTGAGCTTAGTCTGCCGCCACGCATCCGGACTTTACTGGAGACGGCTAACCTTAAATTGTGTACTGAGGAGCCCGAAAAGGCGGTGATGGGAGACTGCCCGCAGTGCCCGCCGGAGGAATGGGAGCTGCTGCACCATGGGGTTGTGTGCTGTGTGCTGTGTGCTGTGTTCTGTGTGCTGCTGCTAAAAGATGGACACAATGCTCATTGCTGGAGCCATTGATGAACACCCCCCTGATGGCGATCCATAAGCAGTATGCGAGTGAACCATGGCATGATTTAATGCGTTGTTGGCTGATCCGATCAGGAACTGAAGGAGTGAGTGAGTGGATGATGGAAGGAAGGGAGAGCCACCTCGAAATTTCCTCTTTCGGGCCAAGTGGGTCAGGCACTTTTGGAGACCCCGTGACCTTCCAAGTTGCCACCCCGCATCAACTTTCCTCCTGGGCCGGGCCAGACCCGTCCAGAAGCCTTTCTCCCTCCTTCCACTTGTCCACTTGTCCACCTTTTCCACACCTCGGCAACTCAGCTGTCACACTGGCCTGCCAGCCAGATAACACCCAGCCCTGGCAGGGCAGGGGCACACTGCAGCGGCAACGTGGAGGACCACCGGAATTTTCCCCAGTCGTACGATATAGTCTGACTCCTGGCACTACATCTCATATATCCCTGCTACCTATGTACTTACCTCTGCTTATCCCCATGGCTGATTCTCGTATCGTCGAAAGTCGTAGCAAGGATTGGCGCAGCCACAATCTGGACGACTGTCATCCAGGGGAGGTAATTGGGGTTGGTGCGGGGAGGATCGGTTCCAGCCATGGAATAACCTCACCATCATGTCCACCGATGACGCAATGAGATGGATAGAAGCTTGCAGAATCCATTCACATACGATACCAAGGTATAGGATAAAGCCATGAGGATCCTATTTGCACCTCCAAGGACTGCTTCCATTGGAACATGACAGCATGACGTGGTGCTAAGTGATACGCATCTCGTTCGAGAACCATCTACTTCTTAGATAAGAGAAACCTCAAACCGGCTTGCGACAACATTGGCCCATATCTAAAGCAAGGCACCACTATGCACGAGCGCCATTGCAATTAGCGGAACTTTTCTCATGAATTTCAAATACCTCGATGGTATCTCGCGGATGGACTGGCAAATAGGCCTCGTGGAGTGACGAATCCCAGGAACTCAACCGCTTGCCCAGGGAACAGAGTAGAGGGAGATTTGAGATCTCCTTTCCAAAACAAAAGGAGAACAGGCGGGTTACTATCTGTCAGAGGCTTAAAATGAAAGTTTTCTAGACTATAAAGACTACGCACAGACTGCGCACAAACCATCCTCTCTTGTCTAAGTGTGCAGTTCATTCATCAAACATGTTCAGAGTAATTCCGTTCTATGACATCCGGCCCAGACGCAACAAGCAAGATGATCCACTCCACCATGTATAGCAATTTGCTCGATAGAGGCCCTCGTCCTCCACATGGATACTTCTTCACTTTCAAGATATGTGAAGAGGGCGATCCGGAGGCTACGGACTGGGAATACTATGAGGAGAAACTGGAGCTCAAATTCTTCAATGAGCGGCTCGCTCGCCCGGAGGCGGGCCCGTTCTTTGGCTGTATACCGTCGGGCAGTTATGTTCAGTTTTATAAAGAAGTAGCCTGTGATGAGTATAGTCAGTTCCACTTTATTTGTAAGTGCGAGCTCGAAGGCAAACTCAAACTTCACGTAGTCAAAAATAGATGGCTGATCGACTTGTGGGGACAGTTTGTGGTGGAGCCCGTGCTGGGACGTACAGGCTTCGATCGAGTCATTCATGAGATCTGCGCCATCAGATAGAGGGTTCCTTTGTATTGCGTAACTGACGCAGCTTAACTATAATTGAATAAAAACAGCCTTGGTATCTGAATCAAAATTGTCTTTGTTGTAGACAAAATTAATGCCATGTATATGTCTTCCATGGATTGTTGAAATATCTAATCCTAATCGTTTTGATCGTTTCTCTTTTTCGATGAGTTGCGGCAGGATCCTCTGCGGCATGAGGCTCCTATTGTACTGCAGGGCACGACTTTTGCTATCTACTCCTCTCGCCGCACGCCAGAGCTTCATGACCCTGGCGTTGAGGGTTTATCTTACTGATTGAATCCCTGCATAGCGAACGGTAGCGCTAATGGCGACTAGAGTAGTTAGATTGAAAGTAAGCACGCCATTTTATATTTTGTAACCATTTCCAATGAGCTTGTGTTTAAACGATGCTGTGTAAAGCTTGAGTAGGGAGATGCAATGTCCTGGTTATAAGAAAAGCGATGAGATCTTCGTCAAGATTTGTGACGACGATCGAATCTAGAAGGACCTTCTCGGGTCAGGAATCAGTGATGAGCGGCTGCGTGGTGTGCGTGTCCGTTTTTGTTGACTTATAACAATCCCCGTATCGTGGACAAGCATGAAGTCTCGGAAAAGAGACTAAGAGTTAGAGGCCATACAATAAAAGAGCATTGGTCCTCTGAAGCCGGCCCTCCATAAGACCTTTGTGCGAGTGATCAATCTTAGTGGCACAGCTCGAGTATGCATCCATGCTCGTCTTTGTCAACTTGCCATGTCAGAACTGAAGAAACCTTGACGTTGGCAATGAGTACAACAGAGCTAATGGTGGGTAAGCATCGAAATCAATGCCTGACCGCGTGACACTAGGTGTCATCTGTGCCTGCCTCGAAGCTGGGGTCCATCCCGAGTACAGGGTTTCATCGATTGTGGAGTAGGCGACGGAAGACGGAACAGAGACCTGCCGTGGGGGAAGTGAGTGAAGTGACCGGGCAAACAGTGGTACCCGGGCTATGGGGCATTTGGGGCCGCAATTGTAAGTCCCCTAGTGCATGAGAGGGGAAAGAGTCAACCATAAATTGGAATTGGATGGTACGGAGCGGATGGTACGCAGGCATGGAAAGAGATTCGACAACAGACAAAGAGAAAACATCTCCCCCGCGGATGTTTGAATTGATTTCCTCAGCTTATGAGAGCTGAGAATCTCCTTCATCTGACGAATCAGTTTGGTTTAGCCAAGATGGAGAATAAAGAAACTGTCGTGGCGCTACGTTTAGAGTTCGATTCCATGTACGATTATCTGCATGCTCAATCCCGTTGGTCGCGTGGCTCACGTTGTGTTTCGAAGCATGAGATTCTAACACCAAGTCTATTCAAATTGATCCCTTCAATCAAAAGCTGAATCTCTGATCTACGGTAGATTTGTCTATGGGTGGAGGAAGCTGCACCACAGGGAGCGCAGGGCACGTGACTCAGATGCATTGAGGATAAAATTAGATACCTCACGTCACTACTCATTTCTACTTAGGCCTGAGGCCATCATGGCTCTAGATTGTCAATTACCATAAGCAGCTCAAAGTTTGTGTGGTTCATGCATTGTTGCTGGGGGCTCGCATTCTTCCCAGCCGCAACATGCCAGTGCCCGAAACCTTCGTGGCTCTTTGGCATCTACGAATGACGGATGAGCCAAGCATAGTGCAAACCTGCAGTCAAGACGAGGTGTTAGCGTAATATGATTCTGACACAGTCGAGGAGCTACTCGACAGGGAAGGAGAATCCCCATGACGCTTAGACTGGATGTATTTTTTCCGTCACTTGGTCATCTCTAGGTACTGTACTTAGCTGGCTGTCCACACACCCCTTGAGACATTCAATATCCATTATGTCACCCATCATTCGAACCCACTTACTTGTAACCAATACAGACTTCTACCAAACAATAGGAGGCGGATTTGTCACCCTCGCACTGGGACCTATGATTGCGCAGCTGATCTACGTGGAAGCTGTTTCTGGTATAGTCAGGGTAGCATTCCAGCGGGTGGCCATTGGGGTACCCGAGCCCTGGCACTGAATGGAGAGGCCTCCAGCCACCAGGGTCTTTGGGCACAATGATTGGCAGTGACAGGAGGTGCGCAAGCCGTGGGTCCTGTTTGTCCAGTCGATCATGGTGGGTGGGCCAGAGTGAGGTGCAGTCCATCCTGTGCCCATTTGCTGAGGCCACATTCCTCACCCATCTTTAGATCTCGAGGAATGTATGCAGAAACCCAGAGGCTGGAGGCCATCGTGACAATTCAAATAGGAGCATTGCTCTGTTGTTTGATAGCTTTGTTTTCTTTGCATCCTGTGCACTGTTTTCTTTGATTGTCAGTTTGTCAAACCGTGCCTACAGCTCAAACATTCTACCAAACATCCAGCTTCACTCACTTGGACTTTTTGCCAACCCTACCAGATCCAACCAAACACCACATACATACATACCAGCCATTCTGAACAGCTTATCGGCACCTTATCCGGGGCTTTCCTTCTTGCTCCAGACTTTTCCTTCCCGCTGAGCTTAATTGTCAGTCAAAATCTAATCGTTCCAACGGGTTTGTTGGGTCCATCTGGCAGCTTCCCTGACCTCGATTTCCGCAAACGGAAGGGGTTTCTCCGACTTGACTCGACACAATGTTCGCCCAACCTTTGGATCACAGTTTCAATGATTTATTCAACCAGTACGTCAATGTGGACACCTCTTGTGTCGATGGCAACAAAGACGTTTCATTCCCCGGCGATCTTGACCAACTATTTCAACTGGATTCATTGTCAAGCGATTGTGGCGACCTCTCACCCACCATCCCCACATCCAAGCAACAGCATCCATCTGTGCAGTCGTGGAGCCGGGACTTCTGGTGTCTGGCACAGGACGCCGATGTATCTGCAGGCCAAGGTCATTTCTCTTTAGAAGACACCATCCACCCCTCGGCAGTCTCAGACCTCAGCATCACCCTTGAAGCTCCCTCAGTCGCCTATACCGCAGACACCCGCACGTCTCCGTCCACTCCTCCGGCTACCCCCAGTCGCAAAGTCAAGAGTGCGCTTGTCACTCCCAAGTCGATCCGTCGTCATCGTGATTCCAATGACCGTCGCGCTTTACTGCGCAAGCAAAGCTTTTCGCCCAGCTTAACGCGCTCATCTCAAATCCAACGAAGCAGGATGGCCTACCCCGAAGCATGGGCACAGCGATTCCAGGATTTCGCCTTTCGTAGCTCCGAAGCTCAGCTACCTTTGTCACCACCACCATCCGATATCCTCGTTCAACAAGAAAACATGGCTGCCGATCCGGTCGGTATGCCTATGGCGCGCTCAGCAGAAGCGCTGCCTCGGGAACCAGACATGTCTTCCCACTATGAGCCCAGCATGTTCACTCAATCTCCTGCCATCACAATGCCTTCCCCGTCGGCTGGCGCACTGGCAAGACAACAACAACGTTTCTTGAGTCAGTCGAACAGCTCCACGCTGAGCACATCAAGCCCGCCTTCCGCCGATCACATCTTCTCTTCCCCGCTTTCGTCCGACCCTCAATCAATGTCCTCGTGGCAATCCGACTCCCTTGCCTCTAGCTTGCCGTACACCCCCGAATTACAGACCCACGATGCTCAGACATGGTGGTCACCGATGACGTCCCGGACCGCCCCGCGGCAACCCTCCTACCAACAACTTATCGCCTCGCCTTGCCCTCAGCGGCCGACTCAGAGCTCTACAAATCGACATGACATGCTACAGGGAGGCCTCATGATCCAGTTGGATCCCTCCTCATTCGACCTCTCTCAACCACAAAGTCACTCATACCCTCCATCTGGCATGCAATCCACTGCCAGCGGCGAACAAAGCCGCTCATACAGTCACGGCTCCTCTAGCATTCAGCAGTCCGTGGAATCGTCGTCCTTCACCACACCGCAACTAAAAAGTACCTCACGCTCCCCATCGTTGTCCCCGGGAAGCGGGTCGCCTCCGACAGGCAGACCGATTATACAATGCCAAGGAGGGATCAAAACCCCTCGCCGTCATAGCAACGGTCGCAAACTATCAGGCAATTCCATGAGCGCTCCCAAACCAGCCACCAAAGTCACCAGCTCGGGCAGTCCCCGCGGCAAGGCCGTCACCGTATCTTTCGTGAACTTCACTGCCAATGACAGCAAGAAGATTCTTACCGGGGTGGCTCCCAGTGGCAGTTCGAAGACAAAGGCACGACGAGAACAAGAAGCCCGCGATCGACGGCGCAAGCTGAGTGAAGCCGCGCTGAATGCCGTGCGCAATGCTGGCGGCGATGTTGAAGCTCTAGAAGCTATCCTATGCTAATAATCTTTGAAATTTCTCTCTATGCTTTTTAATCATTATTATACCTTTGTTGCGATTTTCCTTTTGCGTGGTTCAGTGCATCGGTCGTTCGTGGAGTTTGGGATTCTACATGTTACGGGTTGGAATCTAAAAAAGCGTTAGATCCACGGCGTTTGGGTTACAACAATTAGAATTAATGTATCATTAGTGGGGCTCAGATCCTTCAGAATAATTCAACTATCTAAAACTATTTAATCACTTTCCAGCTTCAAGTCTTCCTTTTCTTGTGTCTATTCTTGTATCGAGTATCTATGGAAGCTTTACGAGTGTCAATCCCTGTTTCTTCATCAAACGTCAGCAAGCACCAGGGAACGTCAAGAGGCCAGTGACATGGGTAAGCATTTGTCACGACATCTCCGCCTTCTCCGGAGCCTGGGTACGTACCTCCACTGGGGTTAATTAGTGGTTGTCAGTCTGATTGCTGGCCGAGAGTGCCAGTATGGATCCAGTGACATCCGCTGGGCTGGGGCCACTACGGCGCCCACCGACCGGGTCCTGCCGGGAGTGGGTTTTTGGGCGATCATCCTCAACACTCCGTCCCAGGGTATGCTATTGCTCACAGTTTTACTCAAGTTGGATGACGTCCCTTGCACCGGGGGCCCCGGGGTTATCCCCGCCGTCATGCCAAGGAAGTTCTTCTGTTGCTGAACGACTGCACCGCACCTCTCTCTCCTCGGGACCACCCAGACCTGACCCCACAGCTTCCAATATGTGTTTTTTTACGGTGATGCACATCGCAAAACACGAGAATTTCGGATCGACCTTCCAAATCCTGCAGTCACCTAGAAGTCAGGTTCTAAATGGCAATTGTCTGGTTCCCAAACTATGTACTTGTACCACAGAAGGAACTCAGTCCAAAGACCCCCGTCCGGGGAGGAGAGAAGATCCCCCTCTCTCCTTCACGCCCATAAGAGAAACACGAGCTACAGTATCTTGGAGTCCCAAATCGATCCAGATTTTCCGGTTCTCTGGTTTGCTTGTCTCGAGCGGGGGAATACTTCCGCTGTTGTGAAGTTTGGGTAGTGACGGCATGGGGGAACCGTAGACCATGCCCCGGGGGTCTGGTGGGTTGAAAATCGGAGGGAATGGGGAGGGGTCAATGTGTCGCTCTGAAAATTGACTGGAGTATAGAATACTTCTGGGAGGTTATGCAGGATTGCATTGCTTGCGTTTGTGTAGGGTAAATTGGGCGTGTTGGGCCTTTTGAACAGCTCGTATAGTTGCAAATGGCAGGACATAGATGACCTACGCACTGTGTAGAAAGGAATGTGTGCGGATGCTTCGGGAAAGCGCCGTCGAGTGGGTAAGCAGATGGATTCTGATCTGAGTTGGATAGTGGCGCAGAGAATGGACTTCAAGATGCATTTTGTGGAAAGGTATAAGCAATTCTCGAGAGACTTGTTTCTCTCAGGCAATGAAAGAGACCAGTTCTTCATAAGCAAGAGTACAAGGGAGTAGGTAATCTGAAGCTACTGTATTGATCGATGGGTCTCCTGGGATTAGGGCTTAGTGCTGCCGGGTATGATGAGATCCGTGGGTTTCCGCAGTCGTCCATTCTGTAAGTTACTGCACAGTCTATACTCTGCTGAACAATACTGTGCCACAAGCAAGGAATTATGTTGGAAGGGTGAGAATCAGAGGGAAAGAACATTTGAAAAGAGAATAGAGTCATTTGTCACCGACAATATGATAATCATGTCTGTAACTTGATAGCTACTAGTATCTCATCCCACCGGCTGACTTAACACACACAGCATTCTTTACTGCCCATCCCACCGGATAGCTCTTCCATCCCACCGCTGCTTACTGTTTGATGACGTGATCGAGAACAACCCCTGACAAATGAGAGGGATGGGTTGAGTGTCAAGCCACCTCGGCTTTTCCCCTCAGGGCCCGGGCCCAAGCCAGCCCCGCCAAGATGCGAGCCCCTCTTGTTTACAGGACTGTACAATAAATATCTCCCCACCCCTCCACCACATCGCAACAATCATAGCACTGTATCTAGCTCTTCTCCATTGATCTTCATCATCTTAAGTCACTCACCACACATACATCTTCTCAACCCAAACCCAAGCAACAAAAATGTCCCCCCTTTCCTTCCGCGAACACATCAACCTCCCACCCTCAACCGCCACCCTCCACGACTCCACCCTGATCATCATCGACGCGCAAAACGAATACGCCACCGGCAAGCTCCAAGTGCACAATGTGGCCCAATCCCGCGTCGCCATCGCCAACCTCCTCGCCAGGTACCGCGCCGCCGGCGCCAAGCAGAACATCGTCCACGTCCTGCACCGCACGCCCGCGGGCGCCCCGCTCTTCACGCCGGACACCCCGCTCGCCGAGGAGTTCGAGGAGCTGCAGCCCCGCTCCGACGAGAAGGTCATCTTCAAGCAACTTCCTAGCTGCTTTGCGCAGACGGAGTTGCACGAGCACCTCGCGGGGTTGGGGGCGGTGGGGAAGAAGATCGTGCTCGTCGGGTATATGGCGCATGTGTGTGTGTCGACGACGGCCCGCGCGGGCCATGAGCTCGGGTATGAGGTCTTGGTCGTGAAGGAGGCAGTGGGCGATCGGGCGATTCCTGGTGTTGAGGCTGGGACGTTGGTGGATGTGGCGCTGTATGAGATTGGGGATGTTTTTGGGACCGTCCTCGAGGAGGGGAAGGAGATTGGGGAGTGAGAGGGGGTTTATTCTTTGGTAGAGGCTGGTTGGTCGGGTGTGTAGGGTTGAGGATTTGGGTCTCATTCATTAAGTTATGTGGAAATGACATGAGGTGTATAAATTGGTTTTGGATTGAGGAATTGCTTTATGCTCGTCACAAAGTGTAGACAGGCGGGTCGCAGCCAGTGCCTAGCTCGTAGCAAGCTGCCGCTAAACCTAACAACTGAGATCAATGCAGCTCCTGACCATCTAATCTCCTGTCTGCTACTGACATTGTGCGTTGCCCTGAGTCGTCCATCACTCCTTCACTAGGATCCAGAAGTCTAGCATGACTCGTGTGCCTCTCATACGTTGGAGGCGGACACGTGCCTTACTCCAGAACCTTTTCGCAAATGCTCCCATCCAGCCCCACAACCCGAGGAGTCATATATCGAGAACGGGATACTGATCGCAATGTACTAACATCTTCAGCCCCTTTGCTCTCGTTCTCACCAGAAGAGACAAACATACCGCATCGAACAACCGCCCATTCCGATCCCGAAACTTTGCGCGAACCTCAAGAGCATGGTCGATCGCGATCATCTTCGTCCGCACGCTCTGCGAGCACAAGCTCACACTCCGCGGCAGCGCCACTCGCGAGCTCACAGCCCACTCCGTGCCGGTGTAACTAACGGATCCATTTTCCTCGACGGGTGACAGCATTTCTCTGAACAGCGAGTGGGTTCTCGAAGCGCTAACGGACATGATATTCAACGCCGCTTGTGCGGCAGTCGCATTCAGACGGATATGGTGGCTTTCGATCACCTCTAATGTTAGGGCCGAGAGGTCGACGTCCTTGGATGGCGCCTGGATTCCCATGTCCACGGAGAAGATAGACTCGAAGGGGATGGTCGGGCTGGGGATCGAGATGCAGTATTCGATATTCTGAGCTGATTGGCCTTCGATCGACGACGCATGCCTCAAAGAAATCGCTCGGGATTGGAATGTCAAATAGAAATTTATATTTCCCCGCTGGGATTTGGAAAGAGCTGTAAGGGCAGGCAGTACTTGATGGACTGACGCGGTGCGACCGACATAACTAAGGTCATAACGTGCTTTCTGCGTGCGAAGCATCATTAGGTTTTGAACGAAAAGACTAATAACAAAACTACCAGACTGATAGTTTCTCGGTCAGAATGAAAATTTGCTTGTTCGGAAGCCCACTGGGTTGATTTCATTTGTTTTTCTTATACTGTCTGCTGGTGAGCGGACTTGCCTAATTGGGGTCGGAGCCCCGACTTCCACTCATGCAATGATCCCGCCCTGCTTTGAAAGTATTATGAGAAATGACCTGACAGCTTTAACATTTCTTTGGATATGACCTCTGCTTACACAAGCTCATTACTATCATCATGACACATAGAGGTAGATTACATCCCACTGCTGGAATTCCTTTACTTCCACACCAAGCGCTTGACCATCTATTCTCCATCAACGCCAACACTATTGGTCACCGAGCCGAACACCTCCAGAGCATGACTGAGATAATCTTGGACACCTCGAACCCGCGGAGTCATATCACTACCTAGAGGCAGAAGCTTCTCATTCTGATGGCCTTCCCCAACCCCCTCGCCGACAACAACCTCATACAAAGCCTGCATCGCCTTATCCTTGTCACCGTTAGGTTTGAGCTTCCCATTTACCAGTATTCTCTGGACCTGCTCTACCACCGTTCCCTTATAATCTTTCGGTAGGGACATCTTTCCTAGAACCACCGAGTTCAACATATTCGTGTTGAAAGTCCCGAGCACCACCGTCAAGGTGCGGATATTGAACGGAGCGACCTCCTTAGCCAGGATCTTGGTAAGTGCTGACCAGAAACCACATTTAGCAAATGCACCTCGACAAAGCAGCAACCTCCTGACACAGGTATAGTACATACCATCCAGTCCCGCCTTTGCGCCTGCGTACACCCCCATGGTGGGGGTGCCGTCTAGCGAGGCCCCGCTGCTCAAGTTGACGATCACGCCCGATTTGCGCTGGCGCATATGGGGCAGCACGGCCTGAATAAGACGCAAGGGGCCGAAGTACATCGTCTCTATTTGCGCTCGCACTTCCTCCTCGGCGAAGGACTCGACCGGGGCGTAAATGCAGTAGCCGGCGTTATTGACCAGAACGTCGATGTGGTCCCCGCTGCGTTCGAGCTCGTTGATGATGTCGCCGCTGGTGCGACTGTCCACGTCCAGCTGGACCCATTTTCCGCCTGCAGACTCGATCTCAGTAACGAGGTCGGGGGTTCGCGAGGGATCGCGAGAGGTCGCGATGACTCGATGTCCGCCGGCTTGGGCGGCGCGGGCCAGCGAGAGGCCGAAGCCGGAGGAGCAGCCGGTTATGAGCCAGGTGAGTTTGGTGGTTGTCATGATGAAAGTGAGGATGGTGATGTTGATGACGAATGACAAGAATCATAGTTTTCAGCAGATCTTTCTTTCTCTAAATACTACACTCCGGGGATAGCGCTGCAATAAGGCCGTGGGCATAGTTACAGTACTCACTAAGTCCGCGGACTTGTCGTACCTAACCCCGGATAACTTCCTGCTTGCTGCAGTCTACTCGATGGTTGTCCACACATTCCCTCAGTCGCATGGCAGGCACGAAATTAATGAGTTGGCCTTACTGGCACCTCTTATCGAGGCTATTCAGCGGCTCGAGTGGGAGTATTTCCCCAAGATTTACATGATTGTCTGTTCACTCGACTTATTTTCTCAAAATCCATTTGCGTTGTTGAGATATCTGATACTAGTAACAAACATAACTCCAAACTATCAACAGTAGACACTTTGACCGAGTGGTTAAGGTGCTGGCCTGCTAAGCCAGTGGGTTCGCCCGCGTGAGTTCGAATCTCACAGGTGTCGCATATTCTTTTTTCTTTTTCCGCTTCCGAGCCCACGTATACTCAACCCTATCTTCCCCAGCCTGGGTCCTTCGCTGGATTCCCCATTTTGGACTAGATAAATCTCAATTACGAGTCTGCGTCAAATCATCAGATGTGTGAAGCTGGAGTTAGTGGTCAAGGGTGAACAAGGGCCGACTCATTATACCGAATAAAGCACTGCAACATCATTGCCAGATAAACAGTCAACAACAGTGACAGCAATTCTTTCAGTGAATTTTGATTATAGAGACACTCTTACGCTGACCCATCACAGCCCCACTGCGAATATTGCCTCACTGAATGCTTCACCCCTTCCGCATCCTGCTGCTGCAACACGATCCGAGACATACCACCTTGTCTGATAGCTCTCCGGAAAGAAGACATCCCATGAGCTGGTCTAGGGTCTTGACTCGGAGACACCCTACCCTTCTTTCGGGCGACCATAGCGTTCATCGCCAACTGGTTCCAGACCTGATCGGTAGGCGAGAACGGACACTCGAAGCTCCACTCCGCTCGAATTTGCACGTCGTGTTGCTCAGGTAAGGTGTCTGGCTCTGCGGATGGAGAGTGAAATTCCACCTCGACAGACCCGCCGTAGGCGGTACTGTGTGCCAGATGTTCAATATGAGACTTGAATGCTGCGAATTGATCATCAGGGAGGAATGCTGATTTGTGAAGCGTCCATCTGAAACTGAGCTTGGGATTAGTATTCAATATAGGACTGAGCTAGGTGGGCATACCTTGTTCCAGTTCGACTTTCACGAAGCTAGCTGGCTACTATCTCCTCAAATGTGCAGCCGTCCTGATCGGTGGACCTCTCCCATGCCCGACAGCCCTTTGCATTGGTCGTCACGAGTTGCCCTGCTCTGATTCCTACTACCTTCGTACAGTCGATCCAGAGGTCAAAGTCGATAGCTTTGGATTGATCGTTCGTCATGTGCGTTCCAAGGATATGCACAGAAGCTTTGGGCGGAGACTTTGACTGCCCAGTGAAAGAAGAAGATATGAGGTTGTCTGATGTGAAAGCCATTTCTGTGATTGGCGATCATAGAGAGCCTCGATAATCAAGGGGAGGTAGACATAGGCAGGACACGATGTGCGATGTGATTCCGTTTTTAGATCATTGATTGAGCCGGAGCTGAGACAAACTGCATCATAGTGCATTCTAGTTGAAGTGAATCTGGCCACACCAACGACATAGTGTCTCAACTTGCCAGCGGCCATTCGACCTCGCTGGCCAGGGTAGTGCTCACCGCCCGTCGCACCCATATCGATAGCCTCACGTAGCTGAATTCATGACTCCCTTTGTTCTTGAGACAGTTAGGCACTAGCCAATGGTTTGTAGAATCAGACAATTATTATACTTGGCTGGGGACCGCGAGGCACAAGCTGTTCTGTCCAGAAGGTCCCGGTGACAGAAAGACGATCCTTTCTTCAGTTGTAACCCATGATATCTGTAAGGTTGCTACCGCTGACGGATATTGTAACTTTCGGCATGACAATGGACAACATACTGAAGCTTTGCTTACATGTTTTCTGAGGCAGCTTAATCAATAGCAGTAACCCACACCCTGTTGACACTGCTTCATCACGCTGCACACGAAACTAGCATGAGATAGTGTCGAAGTTGCTGCTTGGGAGATGCGCCAATTCAGACTGTCACGCAGCTTGAGCCAGAGACTGCTACGGCTGGTTGCAAAGAATGATCATGACTAGTGTTAAGGCGGCTGTTGCTGCCACTGTTGCTGCTACTGCTGCTGCTACACGAGGGTGCTGGCTTCAAGACGGAGAATGACCCTGATCACCGGACACTGTTTGGGTGGGCTTTCGAGAACGATGGCGAGGAAATAGTGGAGATATATCGTTTGTAAAGCGACCTACCTACTCATAATAGCAGCTGTGAATGCCCTGTTGTGGCTAATATGATAGTTTGCCTCTGGGGATAGCCGCCCCATACGCCGCCAGGGGTACTGTCGTCATCGCCCTTTAATGATCCCCCTCCAGATACCGTCGTAAGAAACACCTACCCTCCAAGGATTCTCCAACTTCCTTCCATGTCTCTTGGCCAAATGAGAGAGCAGGATTCCCGCCAGCGTTCCGCATCTGGTTGCGCATCGCCCGGCACCTCGGCTGGGTGATCCAATCGTATTGGCCTGTCCAGATATGGATAAATCGTTATAGTGACCGCTGCGAATAGAACCCGAAGCTCTGTACCTTCAAGGAACTCCTCTCGCAGTCCGATGGCTGGGCTACGGGCCCCGAAATCCTGGGTAAATATAAGTTGAGCTCAAACCAAGCCAACCCCACCCCATTCACCCATTTGATCACTTTAAAAGCAGAACCATTGAAACTCTACCACCACGCCGTAATCATCCTCTCCACACACTCCCACGGCCTCCAGGGCCGCTCCCGCTCCCGCACCACGCAAATCCGGCAAAGCCAGGCCCTGCACAGCGTGGCGGCTACTACCTAGCGGTTCGACTGGTTATCTTCAAGGCGAGAGTCTCGAGGTTCGGACATCCGAGATGGCCTCGCTTCTGGAGGGCTGTTCCGCCCTGTCGGAGACGGAGTAGGGGGGCGTACTTTGATAGCTTGCTGGGGAATTTCCCGGACCAGGGGTTTACGTTGCCGGGGTTCTTTCTGGGCGAGTCGGTTGTTGGCTGGTAACCCTTCTTTGGGGAGATAGGGGATTTTCGGAGTGGGAAAGTAGTTATATCAGGATACTTGGTTGACGGTGGTGGGCAACAGTGTAGACATGTGACAGTTCTATTTCTTTACGTTATGAACAAACGCGAGTCTTGTGTGGTGCCCTTGTAGTTAAGGCTGTTCCTGGTTGACCGTCTCAGAACAACTGGAGATGTTACACAGACACACTTGAGGTCAGGCAAAAGTTCCACAGACAGACCTACCGCTGAGATCGAAGCGGCACCTCCGTCGCAGGCACGACCGTCTCGAACCCGCCGCGCAGCTCCTCCCCACCGACCCCACAGATCCCACTCAGATCGACCTCCTCCCCCCACGGCAGAGCATCCACGTCCACCTCCCACCCCATCAGACACCGCAGCACCACCCCAGCCCCGGCCTTACTCATCACCTCATTCATCTCCTTGCACCGCTCGTCACAGACGCACTCCAAGCAACCCTGCGGCGTGAGACACTGGCAAGCCTCGATGCGCTTCACCGCCCGGCGCAGCAGCACGTCCACGAACTCGAACGCCTTGCTCGCGATGCCGGATCCGCACGGCCCGCCCTTCGCATCATAGAAGGTCAACCGCGCGGGGCGCTGCCGTGCGGGGGGCTGGAGGATCTTCTTGACTTTGGACTCTAGCTGCTTCCTCGTCTGGCCCTCGTGCGGGTGGCCTTCCTCCGCGGCTAAACGCAGGCCGCGGCCGATTTCCTTCTTCGCGACTTTGCACTCGGTGCGGACGTCCCCCGGGGAAGAGATCACGAAGGTCGGGAGCAGCGAGAGGATGGCGTGTTCGGCGGCGTGGATGGCAGCCGCGATGTTGAGGTTGTGCGAGCGGAGGATCTCCAGCGCCCGCTTGGGGATGTCCAACCACATCCCCTTCGTGTAGATGTCGATCGGGGGGTTGTCGACCGCGACGGCGTCCAGGATGCGACCGCGCTTGTCAATCTTGAAGAACCCGTAGACGACGGCGTGGATGCGGATTGATCCAAAGAACGCGCGACTCGGCGGGTCGGGTGACTCGGATGGAGCTTTGGTTTTGGCCGTGGCCGCGGCCACGGCGGAGGCGGTGATGGAGAACGGATTTTGGTTGATGAACCGGATGGAGTCGGTTTCGATGGGGTCGATGTCGGTGTAATCGCGTTGCATGGTGTTCCAGTCCACATGGACCCGGATGACGCGCGCGAAATGGCGATCGGGGTGAAATTCTTGGACGAGGTACGTTTGACCCTGATGCAGGAAGATGCCTCCTTCGTAGATGGTGAAGAAGGCACGCGAAGCTTCCACCTCTTCGAGGACCACGTTGCGCGAGTTGGTGGTGTCGATGACGGCGAAGTGCTGGTCTTCAGTGTCCCGGATGGACACACTGCGGGATGGCTGAGGCCGAAAGCGCTCGTGGCAGTGATAGTAGCCCAGAGCATCGCGGGTGAGGCGAGTCGCGGCAAATTCGGCAAGCTGTGGTCCAAAGTAGGTGCTGTCCTCATCGGGGCGGATGGGCATCTCGAAAGCGGCACATTGAATGTGGCCTTCAAGGACCAGTTCGTTGGCTAGGTCGACTTGGAGTTCGCAATTGGGCTTGGTGAACAATTCCTCGGGATTGCGCATATAGTGCTGGTCGGTGGGATAGCGATCGCCGACAAGAACCGAGAGCGAATCCTTGTTACGTCGACCTGCGCGCCCGCTCTGCTGGCGAAGATTCGAGATCGAATAGGGGAACCCCAGAGTGATGACGGCGTCGAGGGACCCAATGTCAACTCCCAGCTCAAGGGCATTGGTGGCTACAATGCCCATCAGTCGGCCCTCGAACATGTCCTTTTCAATGACACGTCGGTCTTGCGGGCTGTAGCCACCGCGGTAGCCCATGACGAGCTTCGCAACCTCAGCGCGACCGAGATTTTGGCATTCCGTCCGCACAGCTTGCAAGAGAACTTCACACATCTTGCGGATCCGACAGAACGCGATAACCCGCGCGCCACGTAGAATAAGCTGGCAGAACAGACGTGCCGTTTCGGCGACACTGTCCCCGCGGCCGGATGTTGGGTCGTTAGGATCTTTGAATGGCGTATTCCAGCACATAAATTCCTTGCGTCCCGATGGAGAACCATCGAAGTCGATCAATTTCACATCTTCAACTCCAAAAATAGCCTTCATGTGCGCTTCCGGATTGGCTACTGTGGCCGAGCAGGAGATAAATCGCACCTGACGGTTACCTACAGCGGCGCAAATGCGGCGTAGGCGACGCATGATGAATGCGACATGGGATCCAAATAGTCCGTTGTACACGTGCAGCTCGTCGACTACCACGAACTTGAGGTTTTTCAGAAACGTACGCCAGGAGCTTTCTTGAGGCAGAATAGTGATGTGTAGCATGTCGGGATTGGTGAAGATAATACGCGCCTCATCTCGAATGTGGTTCCGCACGGCCATAGGTGTGTCTCCGTCGTATGTCTCAACGATGGTGTCTTGGAGACCATCTAAAAACTGAAGCAGCTCCTGCATACTGCGTCTCTGGTCTTGTGCCAATGCCTTGGTGGGAAATATGTACATCCCGCGGCTAGCAGGGTCTTTCTCCAGCTCATGCAACATGGGCACCTGATAGATCAATGATTTTCCCGAGCTAGTGGAAGTAGACACAATAACATTGTGACCATCGTATAAGTGATTGATGGCCTCTGCCTGGTGGGAATACAACTGAGTGATGCCTTTGGTATTGTACAATGCATTGACCAAATTCTGAGAGAGCTGAAAGTTGAGTTCTGCATGTATGGGAGCCTGTGCTTCAAACACTCGATGTCCCTCGGGAACAATCTGGGCCGTATACCAATCCATCTGCCGGATCTCTTCCACGATTTCCGACATGGATTTCCGGACCTTGGGGATCTGAGGCGGCGCTTTGACTGACGCCAAGGCGAACAACTCATCGTCGTCCGGTGGAATGGGAATCCATGCATCTTTTTCCGATTCTAGTCGCATGACAGGATCGAGCTTATCGTCTTCACAGCGGACAAGAAACTCGTCGATCGCGTCGGTGAACTTCTTGTTGCGTTTCTCGATGAGGGCTAACATCTGCTTCTGACTGTATACCGGCATTTTAAGGTCCTCGTCCTTCATCTTGCGTTTCGGCTTTGTCGGCTCTCCGGTTTTCGGGTCTCTCACTTCGCGCTTGAGATCCTGATCCACAAGCTCGAACAACAGGGTCCTGGTCGGAACACCGTCTGGCTCGGGAAGCATGTCTCTACCATAACCCAGCTGTTTGATCTCGCGCTCCCCCGTAGTCATAAGCTCGAGTTTGGCATCGTCAACATATTCGAAACGAACTGCTCGCGGCACGAGCACCCTAACCCGAGCGATGTCCTCCACTGTCAACTCTTGACCTTGCAACTGAGCTTGGACGGCTTGTTTGATGTTGCTGAACGTGGTGGCAAAGTGCTTTCGCGTGCAGCAGAAGGTGTAGACGAGGTTCAGAGCGCGGTGGGTGCGCGATAGCTGCTTGAATGCGTCGGGCCACGGGGTGGATGGAGTTCGTTTCGGGGGTGCAGCGGCTCGTTTTCGCTTTTTACCCGGCTGTGTCGATGGAGGTTCATCTGCGGTAGCAGGTTCAGCTGATTCTGATTTGGGAGTCGAACGATCATTTTCTTTGCGAACCCTCTTGCCCGATCGCTGCGCTGGCGGAAGGGTCGCGGTGGCGGCTTCGGTGGCCTCGGCTGGTTTAGGCTCCTCATGGGATGTTTTCCTGCCCGTTTCGGTGGAGGAACAATCCACTGGAGCTCTGGGACGGGCCATACCGGTCACTCATGGTGGAAACAAAAAGGGCCAGTGCTGCAAGCGGATATCGGCTGTTGGCACCTGCAGCAAGCAGTAGTGCATCAGACAGGCCGACGATTAATTTAAGACGGGAGTTTACTTGATTGTTGTAGGTCTAGCGTAGAAATTCGAAATCTCGGTGTGGTCTGGGCCCGGAGCCGGATTTACGTCTCTCCTGGGAGCACTTCCGGGAATGACCAATCCTGCTGGGGAACTCATGCATGTCTCAAAACAGCACGTTTCGCAATGGTTGAAACCTCGATTATACACTGGTACGGCGTAGTTTTATTTTAAATGCAGCGCAGACGTACTCCTGAAGTACTCCGTTCTCCAGACTGGTAAGCTGACATGGAGGGGGTTTGTACTGCACGGAGACAGTGCCTCCTAACTTACCTTCACCTTGCGTAATGCATTGTGACTGACGTAGGCAACTGGACATGTCGCCTGCCAACGGCAGATGCTCCTTTCAGAAAAAGGCTATTGGGTTTTATTGTGACGATCAGGAACCAAAAGCAAAAGCAAACAAAAGACCCAGCCACGGCAAGGCGAACCGATGGGGACTTTTTCGATAGTGGATCCTCCCGATTCCTTTTTTTAGGCAGGCGTCGAGTAACTGGCACCATCAACTGAATTTGTTGATATGTTTCTACTTTTCGGCATCCAATGACAATTCCAAATGTTTCGTTTTGTTTTCATTATGATCATGATACGAGGCATCAGTAGCTGAAGTGCGCTGATTTGCATCGCAGTCCCAGGAATTGAAATAACGTTTTAAGTTATCGACCTCGTTTATTCATTCGATGAACAACAAGTGGGGCCAGTCATTTCGGATCAACATTGTTACCGGCGGGATCAAAGCCTGCGGCGTCAGGCATTCCTTCACTAAAACTACACTAGAGCAGCACTAGTGGTACTGTAATCTGAGGGCTCTTTTTGTGGCTGCGCTGCAGTGCGCTGCAGTGCGCTGGCTGGCCATCCACCACCACCACCAACTTGGTCTAACTCAGGCCGGTGTGCTTCTCCTTCTCACTCATTTCCCCCTCCTTCAATCTTTTTCTTACTTGCCACCCCGTCTCTCCCTCTTCCTGTCTGTGTTGTCACTGCAAGCCTGCTGCATGGCTTTCGTCGTATTTCCGTGATCTTCACCTTCACCTACCTGGAGTCGGCTGGGTGTTTTGTTTACTGCCTCGGGTCCCTCTGCAGGGACTCCTGGCTTGCACTGGCCTCCGAGCCCGCCCGCGTGTTATTGCAAGTTTCATGCCCAAGCACTAATTAAACCCCAACGTGTGCCCGTCCCTCTTTAATCGTCATCTACTGCATTCGTTCGTTATTGCTCGCGCTCGCCGTAAACCGATCTCTCGTGTACGACTTCAATTCGATCGTGCCGTTTACTCCTATTCCCCTCCAAACTCAATTCGCTCTGGACCTTCGTTCCCCTTTTCGGCCCCTCGGCCTGGTGCGACACCAAAAACCACACAAAGGATCGCAGCGCAACAAAAACGCAGTCATAGCATTGGCTCACCACTCATTCAGCCATGGCATCTCCTTCGCTTTCGGAGCTGGAGCAGCGCAATCGCCTGCCTACTCTGTTTGAAGTTCTCAGTCGGCGAACGCTCGCTCCCGTCGATCTTTTTTCCTTCTACATTTATATGCGCGACCAGCAGCGATCAGTGGATTATCTTGACTTCTGGTATGTGATAAGGGTCCCCAGAATGATGTGTGACTTGCGCGCAGGACAGTCGCTAATTAAAAGCTTGCGCCAGGCTGGACGTCTCACAGCATATGTCCCTCTGCCGTCACTATGTTCGTGAGCTGCGCCGATCCGTTCTCGTCGCGACGCCTGATCTGGAGAAGGCCGACAGCAAAGGCTCTTCCGCCGCCATGGACAACATCGAGCATCTCAATGACATTCCTCTAGTCGAAGCGGGACCCTCGGGTTCGCGCCATGCCCTCTACGAATTAGAAGACCGCGACGCAAACCAACGACTGTCGGCGTTCCTCCGCTCGGACGGCCATACATCAGGGCACTCTCCACAGAGCAGCTTGGGATCACAGAACGCCGCCCGCACAGCGTCGAACGAGCAGCCCCCGCAAGATGGCTCCGGGACTCGAAACGACTCGCCGTCGCCCGGGCACACGGTGGCACGTGCGGATATCCGCGCAAGCGCAGAGAAGATTCTGTACACATACTTGCTCCCCGGGGCTGAGAGAGAAATCGTTCTACCCGAGGAGATGGTGACGACAATTATCGACCATGTCGAGGACCATGGCCGGGATGACCCCGAAGTGTTCGATCCGGCGAAGGACTACGTCTTCCAGGCGATGGAACGCGATGCATTCCCCGGGTTCCTGCAGGCCAAGGCGCTGGGGAACTTAGTACCTTTGTCCATCATCGCCCGTCTGGCATTTGCGCTGATCAGCTTTGGTGGAGGCTTCTGGGGTGCCTTTTACGTCGTCCTCCGCGACAAGCCCCGACATATACGGTGCTGGGTAAGCCAATCCCTGCCACTCCGGGTCTTGCGACCTTGGCTAACTTGCGTCACAGCTGATACTGCCCTTTGCCGTTGCGTCTTACTTCCTCGTTTCGTACCAGTACAAACTGGACCCGGTCATGGCGTTCTTGGGCTACAGCGAATACACATTTATGACCTGGTCGCCGATCCGCGAACCATACGTGCGGAAGCTCCTGAACAAGCGCGCCACGGCGACGGCTTTGATCGCCTTCTTTGTGGCCACCGCGCTGAGCATTCTCTTCATCTTCGTCCCCGGCACCATGCTCTAGATGACGCAACCTCTCTTGTGTGTGTGCCAGACCTGCCTTTTGACCTCGACGTAATGCAGCGCCATCTCCTGTTCATATATCCTGTCCCATGTTACCCTTTTGTTCCTTCGATTCTAGTAATCTTTCTCTTAGCAGATACCATACCTTGATCCTGACTGATAGTCTAATTCAAACAATAATCTGGATATACTTGAATCATGGCCTTTCCGTAAATCACTGGCAATGAGTTGATGAGAGATCACCTAATACCCAGTTGTAAATGTTTATCGTGTAGCCGCTAAAGCGCCGGACTTGACTTATACTTGTCGATTAGGTTTACCGATCAACCGACAACCGTGGACCTATTTTGCCACGATTCATAGATGACATCATGACTTCATAAACCAAGCAGAAGGGTAAACGTTCCGTATAAGAATGTCTCCTCTTCTCGCGCAGCTAAATGAGAAGTCAAACAGCTCATTATATCACAATTGATACATCCGACATGACATCACTTCCCAAGAATAACACGTCGACCGGCCGGTTTGACCAGAAGGAAGAGAAAGACAATTTCGAGAATCTGTTCAATCAAGGCCCTACGAGCCTCGGCAGTATGATCTCTCTGCTGGCATTTTTACCAAGTGGACTGATGGCTGATGATGTGATCCAATGCTCCAGATACAAGCAAAGCTGCCTCGTCTAATGATATTGACTTTCCACATAAAGACTATCACGATGGTCCAGGGAAGTACGACGACGACGATGAGAACCCCTCCCGGGCCGTTGAGGATGCAATCCCTGCGAATCCGTCGTAAGCAGCGGGGATGAGTGTGGGTTGCAGGGTGGTAGAGTGGGCGGGCAGATCAAGGATTATGTAAATAACTGAAGGGTCCTGTTTCGGTCAATTCGATCAGTTCTGAAATACACCGAGGCTTTAAATCTGGCTATCATTTCTTCTTTTTCCATCCTAACCTGCCTGCTAGATTATGGTCAGCTTCAGTCAGCATACACTGAACAATGTGGCAGAGCACAGTCTCCGGTCTTCAAGTATTTTCAAAGATTGAGCTTTACGATCCTATACAAGGTGAAACGTAGATGATTGGGAGTCCTGAGACGTCCAGCGCTTTCAGTAAACCTATGCTAATCTGACACGCTGACTGACATCATTCCGCATACGCTCATGTTGAAAAGGTGAGGGAAGAATATGACGCAATACTTCTCCGCAGAATCATACCAAAGGTCTTTATCTCTTTGTCGAAGCTGCTGTATATTCTTGTCATCAATGGGTCTCATTGATAGACAAAGCGAGTAGCTAGGATTGAAAATCGGGGTTCTGTTGCCGACCATGGTCGATCCGCTCCATATCGAACGAGTAATGAATGGCCCGGGCCACAGAATTGCTAAATTCGATGCCAAGCTCATCGTTCTGGAACTCCGCGCACCTGAGGCTGATGGAGGTTGAGCGATTGGGTATATATATAAAGATGCATTCGGGAGGACATATTGTCAGGTGTCCTGATCTGGGCCCCAACTCAGTCTTGAACTTATATGCTGATTTGATTTCAATAGGGGGGGGGGGGGGCACTTCAAGGAACCCCCAAATCTACTTCTTAGGCTAAGCTAATAATTTAATTGTGAGTGCGCTCCGAAGTCGGGTCCGGGAGAAGACCAAATCCGCATGCCTGCCGCATACCAACCACCCAGAAATGATCTCGCCATGATATATAGGTGCCAGAACAGACGAACATGTGGAGAAACCCAGGACTCGACATACAGTACGAATGCGCGATAAAATTGGCACTATATAGTCGGTTTCGACTCCGTTTGATCCCAGCTTCCCCCTCAACTACCCGCCAAAGTCACTTCAAAGACCGCCGCGTTCTTCGACCCTTGATATATTGCTTTGACCTGCAGCCTCGGATCTGCCTTGTGCAATATCTCCTTCCACACAGCCAATGGCTTGGAGACGCAGTTCAAGCTCGCAAGCATGTGGAAGTCCAGCTCATTGAGCAAGCGCGAGGCGGATTCTCCTCTCTCGGGATCGACGAAGTCATGAATCAGGATGCGGGAGCGACCGGGCCGCATAGCTTTGGCCGTGTGTCGGAGTATATCCGCGCAAGTGCTGTGACGTGGGAAAACAAAACAGAGATATCAATGGGGCGCTCTTGGCTTTTGCAAGGGGAGGGACTTGTACACGGACCTGGACTGATTATCCATCAAGACGTGGCTCAACACGTAGACATCCGCCCCCTGGACGGGCTGCGGAGAGTACAGATTATGCACCTGCCATTTGACTCGGCCGGTAACGGATTCTGGTAGGTCGGCAGATTGCATGGGCTCGACAACATTGGTCTGGTCCTGCACGAGGAAGGTTATTTTCGGGTACTGCTCGGCAAGACGAATCGAATGCTGGCCTCGGCCTCCTCCGATATCCACGATCAAGGCATCCTCTCGGACTTTCTCGAAGGGGTAGATGCTCTCGACGGGGTCGTCCAGTGGCGTATTGTAGTGCCCGGCCATCGCGCTGGCGAAACGTTGGCCGCGCTCGGGGTCAACGGCGTGGTAATACTCGTATAGAGTTTTGTCGGCTGCCGCAGGGTTAGATGACACCAATAGCAGTGCGCCAGACACATGGTGGGGACGAGAACGGCTCCGGCTCACTTCGAAATGCGCGTTGGAACGCTGTCTGTCCAGTCTGCTGGGGAATCTGGAAGCGTGCCTCCGAAAGAGTTCCCGTGAGGTGTGCTCCCGTCATGAGCCCATCGTCGGTACTATGTATACTATGAGCTCGAGTCTGCACCCGAGGGCGTGATGTGGGAAAAAAGAGGAGAGGGCGTACATATAGTCAATTAAGGACGAGAAGTCATCGTACAAAAGGCAGAGTGACCGTTCGTTGTGGCGGTAGCACTCCGGTAGAACCTCGTCGAAGATGCACGCCCTCACACATTGCCGCATCACCCTTCCTTATTGCCGTTAGTCCAAGGACGGGAATCCCAGGGCAACAGACCTTACTGGTCAAGGTAATGGAGCTGCTTGTCTTTGCAGCCAGCTCTATCAGGGAAATGGTCCCACTGTCTCTAGGAACATGGTGATGGAGGTTCATTTTCACCACCAGCGATAGGGCCACACTGTCAACATAACCCCATGCCGCGTTTGCGGTCCATTCGTATGGATCTGTCAGCAGTGTGCTAAGCTCCTGACAGGCATCAATGACCTGTTGTATTTGATCATGTTCCTCGAGCGTAGCCCTTATCGAGCGGGATCGGGTTATGTTGGCAGCCGCGCGAGGGGCATGTTGTGATATGAGGCAGGCAAGAGCCTCGGCTCTTGACTGGAGATTGGTGTCAATAGCCATCGAAGAGAGTGACTGAAACAGACTGATACTTTCCCCGGGAAGGAAGATGCTGGGGCGACAGATGTGAATACATATACCCCGAATAGTTCGTTCTGAGGGTACTTGAGCGGACGACCACTGTCATACTCTCCAGCATAAGTTACAATATACCCCGACAGGAAAATGCTGTCATTTTACTCCGCAGTCAAGCGTGTGCATGCGATTGACAAAGTGCGAATCTAGCTTCGTCAGGGTCCCTTACCTTGGATAATTGTCTATCTATTGGTACACAGAGTATTCCGTCCTCATAAAATGCACTTAGAGACGAGAACTTGACCAATCATCGTCCTGAGGATCCCACTGAACAGCCACACATTCCTCCTCTTGATCCATCATGAATGTCATATTCACTTACCCCCTTTGGCTATATATCTAGGACTATAATGTGGCCCACTACGCTCTGGACGGTCTTCATTTTCCAACATTATCACCACTGCGGCAGATCCACCATGATCGGTCTTCCAAATCCTAGTGTGTCTCGTTGGGCTTACGCTATTCACCGGCGGACTCAAGTGGGTTGTGATATATCGCTTATTCGTCCACCCTTTAGCTTCCATACCAGGACCGCGTCTGGCCGCCGTCACCGGCCGATACCGATTCTACTACAGCATCGTTCAACGGGGCGAGCTGCTTAAACATCTTAAGGTTCTTCACAGAAAATAAGGCGAGCGAGCCTTGAACCGTGTCGGGAAATCTTTTTTCACAGATCAACTTACCGCTTCACTCCCGAACAGGCCCCGTGGTTAGGATCGCTCCAAACTCGGTATGTTGGCTTCCAGCCACCACAACTTTAGCGCAAAGTCCTGCAGTGCCGATCCCTAATGAATGGTTCTGCTTGAGTAGATCCATTTCTCCACTCTGGAGACGTACCAAGACATCTACCGCTCACGTGAAACAAGGAAAGATTGTGATTTCTACGACGCCTTCTTCGTGCCTGAGGGAACCTTTGCAACCTCGAATCATGGAGACGCAAGAGCCCTCCGAGAACTCTGGCTGCGCACGTTTTCGCGCAGGGAGGCAATCAGACAGGAACAATTGTTCATCTTGCAGGTAACGTCGCACAGCCGGGCTGGCATTGTTCGAGTAACCCGGAAAAAAGCACCCATCCAATTAATTCTCATCGTTAGTCCCGCACGCTCTGGGATTGCCTACGAGATGCATCATCCACCAAAACGCAGGTCGACATTTACATGGCACTCCGATGCTTCGCCTTTGACCTTACGATGCGATATGCCTTCGGCTCCACGTTTGGGTCCTTAGAACAGCCATACTTTAGTTGCCCCATCCTCCTAGGCATCGATGCTATGCTGGCGACGTTGTGGCTGCAGAATCATTGCAGTTGGCTACGAGCGCTGACCGACTACTTCAGCCCTTGGAGTCTGTCGGTTCTGTACCCGACGAGCGCGGAGCTCTTTGGGAAACTGGCGGTGTGTGCTGTACTCCGTGCATGGTCTACGATCAATTTCCGGGAGCTTTTCTGACATGTCGCATTATCACCTGCGTTCGACCTAGGTTTTGGAATCTCGCCTCCAACGACTCTTGGCGGATGATACCAAGACCACCAAAGAGCCCAGGGAGGATTCGGCCCCATTTCTCGCAGCATTGACCACGCAACGGGGTGATCGTCGGGGGCCGCTGCGTAGCACCTCGTCCCTCATGTCGGACGTCTTCACAGTGATGTTCACCGGTGTTTATACGGTGGCAACTACTCTCACTGCGGCGACCTACTACCTCATGCGAGATGAAAATTTCCTAAGGAAACTCCAGCAGGAGTTAGCGATGGCGTGGCCAGATGCTACACAGCCGTGTCCGTCGGCGACTGTCTTGGAGAAGCTGCCGTATCTGGTGAGTCCTTCCTTTGCGGCTTCGTGGACCGAGAGCTTGCCCCCTTACTAGGATGGAATCCAGAGCGCCGTGATCAAGGAAACCCTCCGCCTCACAGCAGGAGTGAACTCGCCGTAAGTCTCTCGCCCACTGCGCAAGTCCCTGCAAAAGAATGACTCGGACGACCTGAGACTGCGCACAGGATACCTCGCATAACACCCGAAACCGGAATGACGATTGCAGGGACTTACGTTCCTGGCGGGGTTTGACAATCTCTCACCCAAGATATTGGGCTCACTGACCATTGAGCTAGGTGCAAGTATCGAGCAGCTCTTACATTATTCATCATGATCGACGTGTCTTCCGGAATCCGTGCCAGTTCGATTCCAGTCGCTGGGTTGTCGGAGGCAAGGAGATGCAGAAGTTCGAACTCAGTTTCTCGATCGGTCCGCGACAGTGTCCGGCCATGAGGTATCTTATGCCCTTGACATCCTAATCGGGCTCATGCACAGCCCCCACCCCCACCGTTCTCCATGCGGGCTATACTGACGGTGGCTAGCTGGAGCATGAACGCGCTGCTGGTGTCACTAGCACATGTCATGAGGAGTTTTGAGTTTGACTATGAGGACCAAGGGTATGTAACGTGTTGTCCGTAGATCTTCGAGAGCTAACTGGTGGATCCCCTCCGGCCCAGCAGCGACCTGCGCTATAAGGATTATTTTGTACCAATCATCGATGGGCCGAATCTTCGAGGTCGGGTCAGGCGAAGGTAGTACTCGTTGGTCCGAACTAGTATGGCTGGAAGGAGCTGCAGCTGGAGGCTTGGGCGAGATCGAGATGCGCTGACCCACACCTTCGTCCTGCACGGCGAATACGATTCATCTCGCGGGGTCGAGAAGCAATGCTTAGGGTGAGAGATAGAGAAGAACATATATAAATTATACGGACATCCTACCTAGTAGTTTCTGGGCATCTTCCAACCCTCAATGTGTAACTCCACGACACAATCGATTGATAGGATCCACTCGATATATCCATCCGTATCTTTATTTTAAAATGGTCACGTCAATGCTCCCTGCTGAAAAGCTCTTCGACTCCCTGGGCCAGCAATACGAGGACGTCTACATCAACAATCCAGCTCTCGGGCAGACCATCGCCGCTGCTGTTGCCCTTCTCCCCTCCGACGCCCACGTCCTTGACGTAGGGTGCGGCACCGGCAAACCCGTGTCCAACCGTGTCGCCCAGGCAGGCCACCGCGTCCATGGCATTGACATTTCGAGCGAGATGGTCAAGATCGCCTCGGCCAACGTCAAGGGGGCGCGGTTCGAGAAGGCGGACATGCTCACCTTCCAGCCCCCCGTCCGATATGACGCCATCTTCGCCATCTTCTCCATGTTTCAGCTCACCCATTCCCAGACCTACCGCATGATGCTGAACTACTGCGACTGGCTGAAGCAGGGTGGGGTCTTAGTCCTCGGCACGATTCCCGCGACCTCGATCGTGCACGACTCCAGTCTCTACGACCGAACGGGGACGGTCGTCCGGCACGCCGACCTGATCTTCATGGGCCACCACTTCACGGGCACCGTGTACACCACCGCCGGCTGGCACGAGCTGTGCCGGAAATGCGGCCTGGAGATCGTGCTCGAGAAGTCCGCCAGCTTCGCCTGCCCGCCGCCGTACGAGGAGGAGGTCCAGGACCATTACTTTCTCATCGCGCGGAAGGTCGTGCGGCACGCCCTGATGGCGCCCTACCCGCTTCCCTGCGGGTATCGCGGACCGCATCCACTGAGCGAGGGGGCCTGGGCCCCGTTTGCGGAGCGACTCGTTCGAGACGAGTTCGATGCCGTGCTGGAGGTTTTGAAGGATAACCGCAGGGTCTTGGACGTGGGCAGTGGGTACGGGAGTATGTCTTTCTTTCTGTTTTGTTTTTTTTTTTTTTTTTCTGGTTGTTTCCTCCTTCCCAGCTGCAACCAGGCCCCTCTCCCCGCAGCCCCTTGAAAGAGGGTCTACCGCTAAAGGATACCACGCTGACAAGCATATCAGAACTGCCCATCGAGCTCGCTGCGCGCGGCATCCAAGCCTACTCCGTCGAGCCCAACGCCGACCGAAACCAGATCCAGACGGCCGCGGCCGGGGAAAAGGGGATCACGATCCGTGCCGGCTCCGCGGAGGCCATCCCCTTCGCCAGCGGCTTCTTCGACGCCGCGGTGGCGATGTGGATCCTGCACTACGTGCAGGACCTGGAGCAGTCGCTGCGCGAGATCGCCCGCGTCGTGGACCCGGCGGCGCCGGACGCCAAACTCGTCATCGTGCAGGGGGCCCCGGACAATGAACTCGTGAATCTGCTGAATGAGGTCTGCGCGCCCCTCTCGGCGGCGAACACGGCGGTCGACCACCAGGGCTTCCTGCTGCATGAAGCGGCCAGAGTGTTCGAGGAGCACGGCTTCGGCGATATCCGGATCTTCCGGGTGAATGCCCTGTGTGGCTTTCCCGAGGCGGATCCCCTGGAGCGGTGTGAGAAGGCGGCCGCGGTCCTGGCGGGGTTCTGGTTCCTCGAGGATGCCAATCTGGAGGAGATGAAGAGGGCGCTGGTGCCGCACTTGGAGAGGCAATTTCGGGACCGTCCGGGGGAGGTCGGGGACGAGGTTGCGGTTCTTGTGGCGCGACCGTGGAGGAATTAGAGGGTTGTGGGGATGTTATCTGAGATGGACCTGGCCCCGGGGGGCATTTCGGAAGTGATTCTGCTCTGTGCCCCACTGGCAGATGGTGCACCCCTGTAACTATATCCCATAAGCTACGAAGCTTGGCAAGCTACAGCACTGGATCTTAGACTCGACTACAAGAATCCCCCTTCTGTTTGTTTCACGGCTGTTTTCTAGTACAAATGATATCCATCCGATATAGTTAAACGTCCCTGGGGGGATAATAAAGGACAAGTCAGAGTAAGGAATAGTGATAGAGAAGATGATGAGAAGAGAACCCTTATAACAATGTTGTTGGCCATGCGAGAGCCTTTGCCGGTCCTTGATATTGGATCACGTGTACTCTAAGGTTCATGTTGAGAATGCAATGATGACGGGTTTGCATGGTTTCCATGGTTTGCATGTTTGCATGGTTTGCATCAGATCGCGCGGCGCGTGTGGAACGGGGAGTGCCATTACTTCTCCGTTCCCGGCGTTTTTACTCGCTCCTCTCTTTCTCCCCTCCACCATCGCAGTCATGGAAACTCAGGTTACCTCTTACGCTGTCTTCCTCATCTATCGGAATCGAGACTCTTCTGGTCTCTTTGACGTCTACGAGTATCTATTGGACTCATTGCTCGTGCTTTTCCATGGGTGGACAAGCTCTCATGTGTTTCCTGTCTGGTCGCTGGCCTTCTCACCTCTTCGCCGTTCGAGGCAACCTCATACAGATCTTACCCTCTGTTACGCTCTCCAGCTCGCTGGGGAGTCTAACCCTAATGTAACCCCGTCGGTTCGGTGCCAACGGCTTCTTGCCGGCGGCAAGTTTCACGGTCATGCACGGCGGTTTGAGCCCACTAGTTGACTCGCATCGCTTCCGGGGGATCGAGGAGGCGAAAGGTTCCCGATGCTCAGAGCGCCATCCCTCCGCGGGGTGCGCATAAAGACGGTTTTCCATGCAGTTCCCGCCGCAGGGCACGCGTCGGTCTACCAATGCTGAGTGTTACGTGCTGATCAAATTAAAGGACAGTCTTCACTTGTTGCCGTGGTACGAAGATGATGATTCGAGAGAGAAGGCAGGTGGAGCATGCCGGGCATCTTTCTTTGGAAGTTGTCATTGGGAGCTCATAGTGCGCGCCGACCCAAAGAACTTACAACTGTGAGCTTGATCATTGCATGTGCGAACTGATTTACCCGAATACGAACAAACCGGGTGTCTTCGGACATACCGACTGCCTTACACACAGTCATCGAGTCTTTGGATTGATCCACTCGTCGGAAACCGGTTTAATCTCTGGAATGGCCCAGGTGTTCCCAACGTTCCAGCCCGGATTAAACCGCAGCGAGGTCAATTTGCAAATGGATGACTTCCTCATGGTCGATCGGATGATGCCATGAGGAACCCCCCCCTTGGGCCTGTTCGTCGCTTTCCAGTTACAAGTCGGTCTCCAATCATGCATTATGTATCTTTCTCCGCTCCTAACCGGGGTAAAGCGGTTGGCCTTCTTGGTCGGTGTGACTCGGGCTGTCCCGCGCATGCTCCCAATCCGAGGGTTGACTGGGGCCTTCGCTCCCTGCGTTCCAACTCTTGATTCATCCCGGGTACGAGACCGGCTAGTGGACTCGTGGATCACGGCATGAAGCCACCTGATCTATGCTTCGCTCGCGAAGGTCCCGATCGATCGTGTTAACCATCTCTTTGCATCGAGCGGGTGCAGATAGATTGATGGGCGCTGACTCGGCCATACCTTCGGGTATGGTCCCTCCCCTTGGGGAGAAGGAAGCGGTTTTTATGGATGTTTTGTTTGTCCGTTTCTCCATGCCCTCCACCGTCGGGTTTCTGGCGGTGGGGAGGAATCAAAAACTAGTCCACGGGGGTACTGTATCACACACAAAGAGGTTGAGAGGCCGTTGATCTTGGGAGGCGACGTGGGGTCATGATCTGCGCATCGAAGGTTCGACGATGGGAGATAGCATGCTTGGTCAAAGGGGCTCGAGCCACGAGATCTGGGATGATTCAAGACTGAAATCTCAGCAGAGGGCGCGAGGTATATCTGGCCACCGACTGTGTCCATCACCCTGGTGCCGCCTGTCCCGACCGTCGCTTCGGCAATGTCGCTACAGTTGTTGCGTTGGTATACTCTCGGTCGTCAGATCTTGCAGCATCGGCCTCTTGCAGTCTGGGATCCGTACAGGAGGCTTGTTATGGGACCTCGAAAGGGGATCAAAGCTCAGTGCTTGTCTGTCTCGCTTCTTGTTGTTTCCGAGGCTGTGAGGGGGTGGGTGTTGCGTGGGTCACGGGGAGGGGACTGCGCTGTGAATTGTCGTTGGCAACGCAGGAGTCGAACACGAGGGATGGCCCAGGGTGGCGGGCCGCCGTTCCCTCACTGAGGGCCCGCGGTGAGGGAACGGCCCCCTTTTTTTTATAAGTGCTCCGAAATCCCCGGCTGTTGCATAGCTAACTACGGTGGCAGGTTGTTTTGGCGGCAACAGCTCGACTCGATTACTTCCGAACAGCGGATGTTGAAGCGAACGATCGGAGAAGGGGCCTGGTTTTACTAGGATGAGGATCGATACCTTGGGTCTAGAACAACAAATGAGCTATGCAAAGGTTGCTAGGAACATGCATCCCGCCCAACCTCTCAATCCAGTTCATGCTGAGATTCCACCGTGTAACAACTGTGTAGCCGCATTACCGACTGTTTGATGCCATTGGCGATGACAACCTGGTCCTTGTACAAACCTTGCCATACCAATCCCTAAGTTTACCCACATTCTACAACTCGAACCCAATGCGCCACCTCACCACCCCCAGGAACTCCATGAACAGTATAAATCACCAACCCCATAAATTCCTCACAAAACCTATATACAGACCCCCCCCCCCTTCCCCCAAGAATTGATGAGATTACCGCCCCATCCACCCCCCATCAACAGTAACCACCTCCCCGGAAACATACGCACTGGCCGCACTGGCCAAAAACACCACCACGCCCTTAAAATCCTCCGGCTTACCCCACCGCCCCGCGGGGATCCGCGCCATAATCCCCGCATTCCGGGCTTCATCATTGATCAGCGCGGTATTCATATCCGTGGCGATGTACCCGGGGGCAATGGCATTGACGTTGATGCCGCGGGCGGCCCACTCGTTGGACAGCGCCTTCGTGAGCTGCGCCACGCCGCCCTTGGAGGCGGCGTAGGCCGGCACGGTGATCCCGCCCTGGAAGGTGAGCAGCGAGGCGACGTTGATGATGGCGCCGCGGCGGGGGCTGCCACCGCCGTTGCTGGCTCCGAATTCGGAGGCGTCGCGGGCGAGCAGGTAGGCGCCGAATTCGCGGCAGAGGGTGAAGACGGAGGTTAGGTTTATGTTGAGGACCTAGCCACAGGGCACAGGATTAGCATGGGGTTGGGGATGGTGGGTTCGGTTTCGTTTCCGCCGGAAAGGGGAAGAAAGGGTGAGGGGCAAGGTGCTTGGGAGGGGGAATACCTCATCCCAATCCTCATCGGGGAATTGCTCGCTGGGATGCCGGCGCTGGATGCCCGCGCAGTTGAGGAGGATGTTGGGCGTGAAGCCCTGAGCGGTCACGGCGGGGATGATCTGTTTGAGGGCGTCGCGGGAGGAGAGCTCGGCGACGTGGATGTGGGCTTTGCGGTGGAGGCGCGTGGTGATCTCGTCGCGCGTGGTGGTGTTGGATTCGTCTCTCTTTGCAGATTATCGAAGGTTAGAATGTATCCAGATGATTCCCCCCCCCAAAAGGGACGACGCACCTGAATCAGAATAATGTCTGCGCCCGCTTCCGCAAGCGCGTACGCCATGGCCTGGCCGATTCCCCGCGTGCCGCCGGTGACGATGGCGGTGCTGCCTTCGAGGGAGAAGAGGGCGGGGATGGACATTTTCGGTATGTTATTTGTTGGATGGGTCGTTGTAGGTTTTGATGTCAAGATAATCCGTCAAGATCGTGGGGTTGAGTGGACTCGTAGTTCATGCACTCTCCATACACAATTGAAGCGATATCAATGCCTGCGAATCTACAAAAGCTGTCTCTATTTCTCAACGATATTTCACAATGACCGATTGAGTCACCATCACCCCACGAACGTGGGGGGGGGAGCCCTTTAAAGCAAGCCAGCAGCCAACAAGCACCCCTCACGGTTGTCTTTCAGTGCGGGGCAGCACCAGCGGAGCTCCTCCCGATTGGGATGATGCAATTGCCGAGGGAGACACAACAAAAGTCAAAGGCCGACGCCCCGCAACATCCTCCCCCGGCTATTGAAGTTTCCGCCCGGTGCTTATCCGAACGCTGTATTTCGGTATCAGTACCGTATTCCGGGACGAAATGGTACACGGAGCGTTAGCAAGCAATTCAGCATCGTATCGTGCCATGAGTCTCTATGCACTACGAATTGTAGTTAATCTTATGGGTGACTAGCACATAACCTTGAAAGATAATCCAGGGTAGATTGTCATCTTGTTATCATGCTGCTCATTTCGATGCCGTTTCGACGCCTTGAAGGTTCTACCATCTTACAAAGACCCCTTTGGTCTGGCTCGTTCCTCGGTACAGCTTCCAGTGCGTACTATTTTAGTTTATTCAGTCTGATAGCCACACCTTAAAATATCAACCGTTCCGGCGATCTCGCCCAATAGCAGCAAGATCGCCGAAACATAAATGTAGAATCATAGATACAGAGAAGTAGATTCCCGCGGATCTGTGCCACAGGATGATGTGTATGTGGTATCCATTGCGCCAATGTCGCCAGCTAAGTAGAAAATCAAAAGGATAGATGGTCTGGGGTCCCATAAAAACGTTCATCGAAAGGCAGAGCCATGCCGTTCATTTCACCTCATTCGCATCCGAGAAAGGGCTTTCCACGCGCGGTGGAATGTGTCGGCTGCTTCGGTTCGAGCGTGTCCCTTCCGGGGTCTCGAGGAGTGAGGATGCCCGGGCGCTGGGTTCGGCCGGGGGATGATCTTGGAATGGGCTCTGGCTGACGGCAGGCGAATCCTCAATCACGGTGGCGGGACGCGACTGCGCGTCGGTCTTGGCGGCCTCGGTAGCGTTGTCGCTGCGGGCCTGGCTAGAACGCTTAGTAGTGTCTTCCTCGTCGGATGAACTGGCGTCGAATCCGGACGTCGGGACTGGGTCTGATTGCTTGGTGCTGGTGGATCGAGACACGTTGGAACTGGTGGTTTCGGACTGCTCCTCGATGGTCTGGACGCCGGCGGGACCATTGGTGGTTTCCTTCTTCTTTTTCGATGCGCCTCGAACCATGACTGGTTTGGCGGTCACCGTCCGCGCCACGATCGAGCTGTTGGTCGTGGCCGCGGAGAGGCCTGCCTTGGCAAGCTGGGCCTGGGTAATGGCCGGCACTGCAGGAGCATCGCTGTTGGCTCCATTGATGTTGACCACGGCGGCACGCGTGCGCATAACTTGTTGCGCCGGCATCGGACTGACGATGGCGTTGTTGCGATAGATGGTGGTGGCCACGCTGCTGCGTAGACTAGGGGCGATGCTGCGACGCTCGTTGGACATTTCCGACCAGGCCGAATCACGAAGGTCGCCAGGCATGAAGAAATGTTGGTCGGGGTGGGCACCAGGGAGCGGCGGAACCGGGGGGACCAGACTCCCAGGGGTCTCTGGGGGCGAGCGATTGGTGACACCAGGGATGTAAGCGATTTGGATAACGTTCGAGGCGCGAGTAAGAACGGTCGAGGCGATCGAATTTGTGGACTTCCTGGACTGTCTCGTGTCGGCAGCCACGCTGGACTTTTCGGCTTCGGATGCCTCTTGTTGTTCCTTGCGCTTCTTTCTGATGAAGAACCACCATACCAAGAAGGTCACTATCGCGATGAAGGCGATACCACCGACCACACCTCCTGCGATAGCACCCGCGTCTGTACCGCCGCCACCGGAATTATTGGAGGAACCCGAATCTCCGCTGGTTGGAGATTTGACACATTTCGTGGTCGCGCACTGAGTGCAAGATTGACTGACCATCGTACAGGTGTAGCCATCATCACAGGTCGGGCAAGCGGGCGCTGAGGAGGAGCATTGTACGCAGCTTCGGAAGGCTAGGAGGGAACGGGAGTAGAGGACTGAGACAAGCATATTAGCGATCGGGAGGCACAGACCAAACCGTAGTGTACGTACCGTTAGGAGTGGTCGAGTCGGAAGGATGGAACGACATGACGGGCGATGGGGTGTTGAGTTGTGGTGAGAGAGAGATGGTTGATAGGGCGGGAGTCGGTCGGAAGGGTCGTAGCAGGACGCTGTGTTCTCAAAACAAAGAGGCTAGGGAGAAAGAGAGACGGAAAGGGCGAAAAAAGAGTGGCAGGCCGATCAACGGCGTAAAGAACGTGGGATATTGACTTTGCGATAAAAAGAGTGTAATACTCGACAGACGTCAAGTCGTGAAAGTTGGATGCTAGGTCATACAAGAAAGAGAGCGCACGAGAGGAGAGAAGAGGAAGGAAGATGAAGAGGTTCAGATGAGCGAATGACTGTTTTGGCGGAAGAAGATTGGGGGGGAGATTGGCAGGCAACAACGCGCATAGCAGAATGCAAATCCAGGTGGAGCTCCCAGGCTTGGAGCAATGGGAGTGGATAGGATACTTTTTTCCCCTCCCAGTCGGAATGTCTGCAAGTCACGAAGTAGACGACTCAGAGTGGACAAGTCCACACCGGGGCATCCAGCTGTAACGTCTGGAGGGACCACGCGTGGTGGCTGCCAGGTACAGAGCAGACGGAGCCGGCGCAAGGGGACAGGGGAAAGTCAGGGGAGAACCGTGGATGCAGGTTAGGAGGTAAGTAAGGTTAAGGTAGGATAGAGAGAGAGAGAGGCGGAGAGAAGAAGCAGAAGGGGGAAAGGGAGAAAAAAGAGGAAAAGAAGAAAAGAGGGAAGAGAAGGAGGAAGCTGGTAAGATAATCAATCAAACAATCAATCAATCAATATTTAATGAAAAGAATGAAGAATGGATAAATTAAACAGACTGACAAGATGGGGGGTGGGTGGTGGGTGAGAGGGAGGGAAATGGAGAGGGGGGGGGAGGGGACAGAGAGTGAGATTGTGAGAGCGATGAGTGAAAGAGGGAGAGCCAGACCTGCAAGTACGGGTGGGAGAAGAGACTAAGCCTGAAAGAAGAGGGTGGATGATGCGGGCGGGAATTGCGTTGGTTGGTGGATGCAATAATAGATGGGGGCTGAGTACTTTTACAATAGTGAGTGACACCCACTGCAGTCCACTCTGCAGTCTCCGCCTTATTCCTGCCGCGTTATCATGGAGAAAGACTCCAGTTGATGGATGGATGGAGTAGACGGAGACCATTCCGTGGACAAGAGAGCCATTTCCTGCATATACTGCATACACTGCAGTATCACTGCATAACACCTGAACACCTGAACACCTGAACACCTGAACACCTGAACACCTGAACACCTGAACACCTGAACACCTGAACACCTGAACACCTGAACACCTGACTAGATTTACATTTAACAATCAATCATCCAGGGAACTTGCCAATCTGCAATCTGCCACACCCCTGACACGGACCCAAAACTATCGAACCAAAGGATCGTGTCTCAAGTGCAGGTCTCGACCGTCGCTCGGTCCACGTTGCTTCCGTTGTCTTCCTTCGCCCGGAAATTAACACGGCTGGGCCTAGAGACTAAGCACCCACCGGTGTTTTGCCTCTACTCAAAAGGCATGGATTCTCTGGACCTCTCTATAAAAACAGTCGACTGACACTGCACTAGTGGAGTAGTCCCAGTAGTTTGATGGTTTGATTGACCCATCTGCCGAAAATCTGGTCAACTCGTCAGAGATTGGGTCGAGGCCATCAGGGTCATGTGACCCAACTCCCCTGACGGACGGGCCGTCGGCCGCCTTGGTTTTGGTTGCACCACCTGGCCGACTCGTGTTCTCGTGTTCGCGCGCTGCAGAAGGCCGCCAGCGTGCTTAGCTTACGCTATCGATGGATGGTACAAGTAACCTCTATGTTTTGTACCTTCAAAGAACTTGCTTGCCTAGCTTAACTTATGCTCTAATACCAGTGGTTCAAATGTATAATTCTCCGTATGGACACTGGTCTACAGCTGACAAAATGCAACTACACTTTTGACGTGACAATACATATATTGCTATGTATAGTCGCACCCATTCGTGTCCAAAGCTCCAAAATCTAAGACGACGATCCATAAGATAGAAACGCAGCCACTGTAAGGCTGGCTTCCACTCTTTGTGCTCAGCTACGCTCGGAAACATCAGCCTGAAGGAAGCGAAAGGGTGCAAGCACGTGCATTAGATGGGTGTGATGTCTACCATACCTCATCGACCGCACTTCAACAACCCTGACCCAATGATGATGACGATTGAAGCCATCTGACTCAAACAAGATGATCGCCAAAGAATGCGTCCTTTTCAAGGGTCTCCTCGGCACAAACTTCATTGTGCGCAAGAGTGAGACCCTGAGATATATACAATGCCACCTCGAAAACCCACGAAGACCGACAAGCCCGTCCGACAGGCTGTACTGAGCGGACGGGTCACTCGATCGCGCAAAACTGCCATTACCAGCAGCTACAAGGAATCAATCCCGCCAGAGGCTTCGCAAAGCGAGGATGCGATTTCGGGAGAGAGCGATCGCCAGGATGACCTTCCACCAGTCCAGGGAAAGCCACCAGCTTGGGCAGAGGTTTGCCCCCTACAATCCTCATAGAACTTCATGATGAAAGTCCTCTAATGCAAGACCAGTGCCGTCCTGATCTCTGCGATGCCCTCCCCTGGTTCCGTTCCGCCCAGGGAGGCTACTACTACAATGGCAGTCTATGCTACGGCTGTTTGGTGGATGCGGACTCGGGAATCCGGGCCTACATCGATGACGAAGTTGTCATAACTCGAATGTAGGTGTCACCAGAGTAGCTGCTTCACAAAATACCTAGCGAGCTCAATAAACAAAACTAACGTTGCAACTAGTGGCGGTGGGTGCACCAAAGACGCTGGGGGGAACCTCGTGCTGCTCAAAGATCAAGACACTGATAGCGCGATCTTAAGCAGCGTGATAAACAGCTGGAGGATGCAGAACCCCGTTGGACTCATTATTGGTACGTAGACGACCTCCTTGATGTGGACATCTCGCGTTAACACCTTGACAGGAGATCGAAACAAGCAATTGAGCCGGAAACTCCCCCACCGTTACAATGTGATGGCCTACTTTCGCATCACAGACGTCTGGCACGAGCAGCTAGGCACGAAGAAAGGCGCCAAGGTGCGCTTCGAGAAGCTGGATCTCGCCGCGACAAGCTGGTGGGCGGCCCCGGGCACAAGCCCATTGCCCGTGGAGCAACGGGATTTCACACTCCGCCCAGCCACGAAACGCTGCTCGAGCTGTGACCGCGACAGCAAGCAAGTCTACAACGAGGGCTGGATGTGCCTGACGCCATCCTGCGCCCGGTTCTGGAAGGTCAACGGCACCACAGCGCCGCCGGGGCACCTCAGCTTCAACGCGGCATTTCTCAGCGCCCGGCTGCCCCCCAACCCGCAGATCCAGCCTCACTTTGACCTGGTCCCGGACCTGCTGGCGACCCTGTCGGAGGACCAGGGCGACCTGGTCTTCAAACGCATCGCCTGGAAGGGAATTGTGTGTCCGCTGTGCTCTCGCTGCATTGCCCGGCGATTCTGGCGCGGATGGAAATGCGCCGACGAGCTCCTCCAAAACCTGTCTCAGCAATCGCATCGGTGCAGTTTCGAGAGATACCTCAAGGTGTCGCCGCTCTCGGTCCGGTCCGTGATTGACGAGTTCGAGATCCATCCCGCCAAGCGGGCGCTATACTTCGACCCGAAGCTTCAGCTCCCGAGCGTCGACGACTCATCCTTATATCCGTATCGAAAGCTGGTATATACTCTGCCCGGTGTAGGGTCCGTGACGCATCTGGTGGCCAACAGAGCGATCAACACCCGCGCCAACGGGCCGGATGATCTGTTCAAACGGCTTCAGTCGGTGGATCTGGGACTCCAGCGGTATCCGCTTCAACAGAGTGTCGGTGGGAGCACCCCTCACTATTTAACGCCCTATCATCACGCTAACCTCTTGCACAGTCCGCGGCACCCTGACTTCTCACTACGCAGTGAACTATGTACGCCCTCTCCCTCCGTTCCTTCTACGATCTATTCCACCCCAATCCCCAGATCTAATATCTCAACAGGGCTGCCCATACAAATACGTCGTCTCCGTCGCCAGCAAAGGCTTCAACGAAGCCAGCGACGAGGTCCTCCGGGCATTAGGCCGGCTAACCTGGGCGACCCAGCAAGCGGTCACCAGCGCGGGAGACGCATTTCTGCCGCCCAACGAGCTCCTCCTGCTGGGATACATGGAGGACATGAAGATCGGAGTAAGCCAACCCCTAACCCCGAACCTCCTCCCTCCTCCACATCTCCTTCCCAAACGCACTAACAGAAACAAGTACCACGACGACGGCGAATCCTCCCTCGGACCCACAATCGCAACCCTCTCCCTCGGCGCCCGCGCCACCATGCTCCTGCGCATGAAGTACAAATACTACCACGGGTACACCAAAGCCAAGCGTCTGTTAGACGAGGACCCCGCCCTGGACGGATGCGCACACTGCCCCGAGCGGCAGGCGCTGAAGCAGACACTTGACGCGGGCGAGATCACGCGGGAGGAGTACGAGGCGCAGCGCCGGAGACTTCTCGCCACAAATCGGAGGGGGGAGGCGCCGCCGTGCTTGAAGATGGAGCTCAATCATGGAGACCTGGTGGTGATGCATGGGGAAGGCTTGCAGCGGTTTTATGAGGTATGCTTTTTTTTCCCTTCAAAGGGTGGGAGGGCTGATGCTGATGCTGATGTTTAACGATATGCTAGCATTCGGTGATTCCCGAGAAGAACCTGCGGTTCGCGCTGACGGCGCGGTATATCAAGCCCGAGTTTGTGGGGGAGGCGGATAGGCAGAAGGGGGTGTTTGCGCTTACGGGGAAGCAGGTTTATGATGGGAAGTGATGCCCCATTCGTTCTATCGTGAGAGAGATTCGAATTGTGGGTGCGTTGTCATGCAACGATGTGCTTGCTTGAGACCACCCTCTATATAGCTTTGCTTTTGCTACAATATACCCAATCACTAAATCAAGCACCCTAATCCCGCCAATTCTCCACCCCATAATCCACCGGAACCGGATGGTAGAAACTGAACCGTTCGAACGGATCCCACTTCCTCTTCAACGCCGCCAACCTGACCAAGCTCCTCTTCCCATACCACACCTCGGGCCCCTCGTCCCCATGCGCATAGTTATTGTAGAGCACCAGCTGCCCCTGCCCTTCCGAGTCAACAAACCCACTAGTCCGCGCAAACCACTCCCGACTCTCCACAACCCACGCATTAACCCGCTCCTCCGCCTGGTCATCCTCATCTACAAACGTCGCCTTGAAGAGCACATGCGTCTCGATGTCCCGAAACGCATACACCATGTCCTCCCCCCCCTTGTCCCCGCTCTTAACCGCCTGCGTCGGAAACCGCGAGAAGACGACCGACGCCGCGATCCGCCCGTGATACTCCCTCGCAAAGCCGGCAAAGGCATCCGTGTACTTCATAAACGTGGCGACATCGGTGCGCTTGAGCCCGGCACCGCCGTAGATCAGCCGGAGGTCGTGCTCGCAGGGGGACGGGTCCTCGCTGAAGAACAGCTTGGAGTAGAGTTTGTTCCAGGCCAGCACCGGGGTGAAGCGTTCGCGGAGCGGGCCCAGCGCGCGGAAGCGCTGGATGTAGGGCTCGGCGGCCTCGGGCGGGCCGTAGTAGATGAAGTTGATCAAGATAGTCGCCTATCTTCTTTTCAGCACAGCCCCTTTTCCCATACTATACTAGAGCGAGCGGGCAAGTGAGACCTACCATATCCAACCCCTTATTCCACCCCAAAACCACAGTTACTGCCAACACATCCGGCAGCCCCTCCCCATCAAACTCCCTTAACGTCTCCCACACACTCGCGTTCGCACTCGCCGCAAACAACATATCCCCCTCCAGCACCTGGCCCGCATTCGTGGCCTCATACACCTGGTAGGTGGCCTCGACCACGACCCCGAAATTCCAGCCGGCACCGCGCATGCCCCAGAAGAGGTCTGCGTTCTCGGTCGACGAGGCCGTCACCACCTCCCCCGCGGCGGTGACGAGCGTCACCGAGGTGAGCGCGTCGATCATTAGGCCCCGCCGGCCTTGGAGGGGGCCGATCCCTGCGCCGAGGGTGGCGCCGATCGTGCCGACGCATTGGGCGGCGCCTGTTTCTGTTCCCCCCGCCGCATCGCTGTATTAGCTTGGCAATTGGGAAGGTATGGAGGGGAATGGAAGGTGAGGGCGGGACAAGAAAGCAACGCACGAATCTCCTTCCCAGCAGCATACAGCACATCCCACATCTCCTGGAACTTGGTGCCCCCGCCGACGGTGAGGCGGTCGCCGGCGGGATGGAGGCGTGCGTATCGGAACTCGCTGAGGTCGATGTTGATGCCCCCCTGCATGTTGGCCAAGGTGGCGGAGACGCCGTGGCCTGCGCCGGTGGCGAGGTAGGGGATGTCGTGGGCGTTGGCGGTCTTGATCTTGTTTTGGGATTAGCTATGCACCACTGGTACAGAAGGAGAAAGAGTAGGCAGTACAATATTCTGCACATCCGACACAGTCGCCACCCGGATGGCTGCCCTATACGACGGGGCCTGGTACGCGGACCAGCGCTGCTGGATCCGGTCCGTCCAGGTCGGCCAGGTCGGGTAGATGATCTGCGCATCGGGCGAGAGGACGGGGCGGAAGAGGAATTCGAGGTCGGTGGTGTTGTGGGGTGCGCTGTTAGTAAAAGTCTGGACGTGGGCCACGAGGGCCAGCGCCAGCAATAATATGAGGGCAGGAAAGCACGGCATATCGGTTTCGCATGCTTGACGGTAAGATATGTCAGATTCGCGGGACAAAGTCGGAAATATAGCCTCGTGGGAGAGCATCTGTTGAGCCCAGCTAGTCTCAGCCGCTAATCGATGCTAAATATCTTGGCTGCATTAACTGTTAACGTAGCAAGCCCTAGTCCCGGGTCGGAGATGCTCGTGTCCGAACATGGTGAGATTGCATGTCTTTTCTGTGTTGCTGATAACATATCTTATACTTGCGTAACCTAGGCGAGGAGACTTGCTGCTGTGGCGAAGAAATACTCATAACCAGTTACTCGTCGCTGCGGCTGCCCCTCCACCTGGGATGAGTTAACGATAGCGACAAGTAGCACCAACGGTTGTGCAGATCAACCTTAAAGATAGAACGGCGGCCGTGCGTAAGGCTTCCCGGGGCTATTCAGCCTACCTTGACGCGTCTACACCACACTGGATAAAGATCGTATCTCATCAATTGAATCTACTATGTATCAATGCCGATGTGCATACATCCCACTCCCCTCAAAACTCCAACTCCTCCACCTCCATCCCACAATCCACACACGTCTTGACCCCGATCCCCGTCTCGGGATTCTCCACCGACCGACCCCATTGATGCACATGCCGCCCGCCATTCCCCAGATCATCGCCGAACTCCCCGCCGGCCGCGCCCATCCGATTCCGCCGATACGCATCCACGCGCGTCCGCTTCTTGAGGTCTTGCAGCTTCGTCTTGAACTTGGCCTCGCGCCGACGCTTCTTCTCGCCCTCCCGCCGCTCGAACTCCGCGTCCAACGCCTCGGGCGACCCCCACTTCTTGTCGGAGAAGGCATACTCCTCGACTTGATACCGCAGGTAGAGCATCATGTTGTTCCACGTGGACTTGTGGGGGTTCGGCCGCTCCAGATGCGGCAGCAACTCTTCGTCCCGGAGCTCAGCTACCCACCAAGGTCAGCATAACCCATCCCTAGGCCCCCCGCAATATATCCCATACCCTTCAGAAACGGGGAAAGGAAAAACTCACGATCCGTCAAAAGATAATCCTCCTTGGCCTCCGTCTTGGTCAACAGACTGTACCGCTCCGGAAACCGCTCCTTACAGGCATGACAAACCCGACACCGCAACTCCTCCTCCCATTTCCAATCGATCTCGAGACTCCCGCACTCGCGACACGCCTTCTGCTTCTCCTTCTCCTCCAACACACTTAGCCCCGGCTCAAAGGGCCCCGCGCGCTCCCGCCGCAGCGCCTTCACCAGCAACTGCCGCTCCCACTCCTTCTGCGTCATGCCGGCGGGTTTCTGCTCGGCTTTGGGGTCCTGCACGTTCAGCGCCTTGTTGTGGGGGTCGTCTTCTGTCGACAAGAACCCGCCTTTCGTGTCGGTCATCTTGCTGAAGTCGTAGTCGACGAATTTCGTGAAGTTGCGCGCCGGGCGGATGGTGTCGAGGGGTCGGGTTGTAGAAGTAGTGGCATCGCGGACGGTGGAGGGGGTGGGTTGCGCGGTCATGGTGGTGTAGGTTCTTTTGACGCCTTTCGTTGTGGTGGTGGCGGCGGCGGCGGCAGCTGCTGCTTCGGCGTCACGCTGCTCGCGGATGGCTTTGGCTTTCATGCGGTTGATTTCCTACCAGATTCCAAAATTGTCAGGAAGGCTGGAATAAAAGAAGGCGAAGGAAGGACGTACGATTCGCCGTAACTGCTCCGGAGTGAGCGGGCCCCGGGGGAGCTCACCGGGCTTGTTGGGGCCCGTCTGAGGCGGAGGGGTCGAGGGTCGGTCGGTTGCCATTTTTGTGGCCCTCTTCGAGTTGTTCAGATTGTAGGCTTTGGAGTGGGGAGATGTAGATGTAGATGTAAAAAGAGTAGGAGGCGTCGCGGTCGCGGTCGAGGCCGTCGCCACATCACGTGCTGATAAGAGTTCTAATTGACGGGAGATAAGAACTCCGCCGATGGAAAATGACGTAGCTTAGTAACTTACTCGGTACTCTCTGCCTCGGGCTCGTCGATCCCCATGTGAAGTCAACCCTAACTTAGGTAAAGAGGCTTAGTTGCAGTCGGGGGAAAACTCTATCCCTAGTCCATGGTGGGAAAGACAGCGGGGAGAAGAGTAGAAAGCTTGTACTCAGCAGTCTAGATGACATGGAATATGCTTTTTCATGCAAGCGAGGTATCGACAGCTGATGATGAATCATAATACCCGATTCTCATGTTCATGACTACGGACTACCTTGTATCAAGGTAATGGAGGAGGAAGATTGACCCAGAAGCATTCGTATCGTACTCAACCTAGGCATATCACCTCAACAACATAATTGAAGGCCCAACGATTCCAAATCCAACCACCACAGCTGAATCAAATAAACCCCTCCCTCTTAGCCCTGACCAGCAACTCCTCCAGCCGCACAAACTCCATCCCGGCAAAGAACTCCTCCTTCTGCCGCAACGTCTTCTCCCTGGGGCAGCAAATCGCCCCTTTGATCGTACACTCCTCCAGCTCAGACAGAGCAATATTCGGATCATCCGGCGGTGTCGGATGGTGCTCGACATCATACTCGATCTGCGCGACGGACCGATACTCCCTCTCGAAGGGACGGCCTGCCATCTCCCGGTGATCAGCACGCAACCCTCTCAACCCCTTTTAACACAGAGTCTGCTACAAGGCCGACATACCGTAATACTTCTCCAACAACCCCGCCGCCTGATTAAACGTGCCCCATTCCCCAGCCACATAAGTCACCGGTTCCTACCACCTCAACAATTAGCATGCATACTAAGTACCCCATCCCGCCACCCCCACAACCCCAACCCTTACAACACCCGAAACAAGAGAAGAAAACATACCCACCGCTCCCACCCCAACAGCCGCACCACCGCCCTCGCCAAATCCCTCGACCACGTCCACGACTGCACCTCCTCCCCCGACCCTTTTACATGATACGTCCACGTCTGCGGATCGATCGGAAACTCGCCGGGGATGTACGCCATATACGATTTGTGTTTCGGTAAGAAATAGTCCATGAACCAGCCGTGGTGGACCAGCGTCCACTCGACGTTGTGGCTCGCGGCCTGGGACCGCAGGATCTCGCGGAAGGGGGCGCGCGTGACGCCGTAGGAGCGCGGCAACAGCGGGAAGTCGTCGATGTTGCCGGCCCACTCGGACGGGATGAGGCGCTTGCAGGTCTGCGAGGCGATGCAGGCGTTCAGGAGGTGGGTGTGCAGCGTCAGGTAGGCGTCGTTGGGGCAGCGGATGAGCGAGAGGAGGGTGGTGGCCTGCGTGGTGTTGAGGATGGGGAGGAGGGAGGTCGGGGTGTAGTCGGTTTGGTGGGTGGTGATTTTGGGGTGGTCGGTCCAGGGTGGGGGGTTCTTGTTCTTGTATCAGAGGATTGTCAGTGATTGTGGGTTTTTTTTGTGAGGGGGTGGGAATGGGGATGTGGGGGTGAGGGATTGGGGGCAGTACGGATCGAGTCAAAATCGCAACGGCGTAGTCCGGGCAGCTGGTGATGGCTTCGGCGAGATACCGTCCGAACCCGCCGGTTCCGCCTGCGAGGACGATGACTTGGGAAGCCATGATGCAGCAAGAAATCTGGTTTCAACTGCGATGGTGAAATGTGAGATAAGATGCGGAAGGGTGGGCTCAGTGCTGCAGTGTGCAGGTTGGTTATCAAAGAGGCGGCTATGGATCCGTGTTTATGAACTTTTACTCTCAAACACATGTGCGACAGTTGCTTTCGTCAGTGGATCGACCTCGGGTCCAGCTGCGGTGTTACAGTCTCTGACTCAGAGACCATGCAGTCGACTTAACTTAGATGTCCTGTAGGTGGCGCTGAGTCAGAACTTTACTGTCGAGGATGTTGAAGTCTCAGGAGTTGCTGGTGATACTCGTATTCGGGGCATCTTACGAGTGGGGGTTGTCACTGGTTTAGGGCAGACATCGACTTGTGCAACATGTTTATCTTGCTAAGGGTTCGGATTTCGATGTGATCAAGGTTGCATCGATACGGCATCGAGTCAGCCCAGAATGAATTGCGAATGCTGACACACGTTACATCGATCTCGAAATCATGGCTGGTGACACAAGCATGGTCAAGGAGGCGCGGAAGGGACATTCCGACTACCAGCCGATGGGATCGTCCGGACTACCGAGTAAAGACCCTGATAACTGCCATATAATAGCTCGAGCATCTCGAGCCTGCCCAGTCAACAATCTGCAAGACCATATCCCAGCTGTAGGAATTATCACTGCCTGCACAACCATGCCAGAATCACCAACCATGAATTCTCCATGCCCAAGCAAGGGCGTACAATGCGTCCCCAAAGACACGCCTCTCCCCGAGATCCTCGCCCACATGAAGCGCGACGGCGGCGTGATCATCAAAAACCTGATCGCCGAAGAAGACATCGACCGCACCTACGACGAGGTCAAAGAGCGGCTCGCCGAAGACCTGGAGTGGGATGGGGTGTTTTTCCCAAGTTCCCCCCCCTAAACCCGTTCTCTCTGACCACCATCCCATACTCACGCGCATCTAGAAGAAACCAAGCGCGCCAACTCCATGATCGCCATCAGCCCCACCTACACGAAAACCCAGTTAATGAACCCAATCTACCAGGCCATCTGCACCCACTTCCTGACCACCCGCCACTGGTTCTGGTGGGGCGAGCAGCGCAAGGAGTCCATCTCCAAGCCCTATGTCTCCACCTGCACAGCTATGGAGATCGGCCCCGGAGCCCAAGCCCAGCCGCTACACCGGGACTCCTTCGTCAACCACACCTGGCTCCCCGAGATCGCGGAGTGGGACGACGAGCGCGACCGCCACCGCGAGACGGAGATCGGGATGATGGTGGCCGGGTGCAAGGTGACCAGGGAGAACGGCGGGACGGCGTTTATCCCGGGGAGTCATTTGTGGTGCGTAGCCAGCGCCCTTTCCCTTACCATCCACCCTATAAATAATTTAACACCATCAGGGCCACCGACCGCCCAACCCCACCCCGCGTACAAGACACCATCTCCGTCGAGATGGACAAAGGCGACGCCTTCATCCAGTTCGCCTCCACCTACCACGGCGGCGGCCGCAACACGACCGCCGACCAGAAGCGGCTCTGCTATGCCACCTTCATGGTGCGCGGGTATCTGCGACAGGAGGAGAACCAGTTCCTGGCCGTGCCCCGCGAGGTGGTCCGGCGGTACGACCGCCCCATCCAGGAGATCATCGGGTACTCCCTGAGTGATCCGGCGTGTGGGCATGTGGAGCAGCTGGATCCGATCTACGTGCTGCGGCCGGAGTTGTTGGGGGAGGGGAGGCCGAGGGATTGGTGATTGCCCTGGTGATTGGTAGGGTTGGGGCTGTGGTTTGATTCGCAGGGTTAGGACTTGAGGTGTGGTGTAGTCTGTTGTTTGTGTATGCAAGAAAGTGATTAGGTTATTGGCTGAAGGGTTGTTCTTGGTTGTGATAGTAGGTTGGGGATTGGTTGCTGTGGAGAGGTAGTGGTTAATGCGTGGTTGCTTGGGGAGTATGCTGCGCCTGTCATTGTGAGATTGACGCTTCGGAGGTCCGGTAGTAGCAGCGTCCTGCCAGCTTATCTCAGCAGTAGCCTGGTTAGCCTTGCGTGGAGAGTGCGACTCAGACCTAGAGGTTCTAACAGTGGCGGTGGTAGCGATTGCATGGTCACCAGCTTGATATCTTTGTTATCCCAGTTCATAGAGGCATCAATTCCTGCGTGTGGAGCACGCTCAAAACAAGTGTACTTCTCGACACCAGTCTGATACACTCACTGAGCACCAATTACCGAGTATACTAGAAAGGGGGACACTTACCTCGCCACTAATCTACAGGTAGTCTCAGTTCTGGTACATTATACGCAGATAAAGTACGTAGTACATCTACCGATGGCTAACCAGCACATCCCACACAGAAGGCCGTACAAGCGTAGAAAAGCAAAGATACACAGCTATCCATAAACCTGCATTTCCACAAAGGCAATCCTACAGAGCATTCACATCACACAAGGGCTGACTATCTTCAAAAGCAAAGAAGACCTGCTGATGCAGAATCCAGCCACCCGGCTCTACCGAGCAGCCGGCACGAACCTCACCCCCGTAGCCCTATTTTCGAACCCATGCATCCGTATCCACCCGGATGACCTACAAAGCAACCCAGAGCGTGACTGCTCATCCGTGTGTCAACCTGCAGAGCAGCTACTGGCGTCGCCTGTGCCACCATCCCCAAGCCCACCCCGCAGGACGCTTCTCCATCCCAGCCCGAAGGCTCTACCACCCCTAGTCGAGTCCAGAGAAACCGGTCCTAGACCCCGCAGCCAGCTCCTGCAAGCTCAACCCCTGGAACCATTCACTCAATGATCCCCCAGAACAACAAAGGTCCCGATCCCCATCAGCAGACAAAAGATAGCTGTCCCAAGGCAAAAAGGCAATTAGCGTATCCACCTCAATCTAAACCGAACACAACCCCAGAATAGATAAACGTACCCAGAACCAGATTCATGTAGAAATACCCCACCGCCTCGGTCAACGCACCCGAGATTAAGGGCCCGACGAACATGCCCCCCTTCCAGGTGACATTTGACAAGGAGAAGGTGCGCGAGTAGCCTTCGTTCGAGCCGAAGATGCCCGGTTTCTCTTCGGCGAGCTCGTTCGCGCCGTCTGCATCGATCAGCATCTTCTTCACTCGCCATAAAGCAATTCTTGGGGGAATGAAGTAAGACGGAACGACAGTGAACCGCGAGAAGAATGGATCAACTCACTCAGAACCTCCACCCCTCCATACCCCAGAATCAACGTCCTCCACACCCCAATCGCCACCAAGCTCACAAGATACACCACGGCACCACTCTTCTCCAAGAGCCCCTGGCCCGGGAGACCCAGCAGCACCAGCGACGGCGCTAGCAGCACAAACCCCAGGGATACGGGGTATCGCAGCCCGAACCGATCCTTGAGCCCGCCGACAGGCACCACCAGGATCAGCGTCGGCGCCTGCAGCAGCAGGAACAAGAGTCCGGCGTGGAAGCTGTCCCAGTGGAAGACCTCGCGGATGTGCAGCGGGATCGTGGCCTCGAAGCTCGCGATGACGACGGCGAGCAGCGTGTCGCCGAGCAGGCCGGCGGCGACGCGCTTCTTGCGGAGGATAAGCCAGTAGACGTTCTGCTTTTCGGGGGTGCGGTTTTCCGCCGGTTTTGGAGGATGGGTGTCGGCGGTGGTGGTGGTGATGGTTGTGTGGTATGTGTATGTGCGAGCTTCTGCGGCCGGGCTGGACGGGAGGAGCGGAGCGGTGGTGGCGTCGAGGGTCTGGGTTCCGCAGGACCGGGGGAGAGTGTCTTGCTCCTCGTCTACCGTGGCCCAGTCTTTGGCGGCAGTGGAACTGGCGTGCGCTCCGTCCCCGCGCGGTTCGAGGACGAGCAGTTGCAGGACCAGCCCGATCAGAAGGACGAGAAAGGCGCTCGACCACATGACACCGTAGGAGACGAACTTGTACAGGGCGGCCGACACGGCCGGACCGGTCAGCAAGCCCGCGGAGACCAGCAGGACCGCGACCCCGAACGCCTTGCTCAGGTGCCGCGCCCCGGCGGCGTTGGCGAGCATCGCCATGCCGACGATCCAGATCACCGAGCCCGCGACGGTCTGGATGAGGCGGCCGAGGATGAGACCGGTCACTTCGGACGCCCGTTGCATCAGCTCTATTCTTTTATGATGAGAACGGAACTACCTACGTGTCGTCGACCACGCCGTCACCGCCGTCCCGAGCATATTCACCACCCACGCGGCGATCAGCAGCCCATTCCGCGAGGACAGTTGGTCCGCCAGGTAGCCCGTTACGGGCGCGAGGAGGATCGAGACGAGCGCGTTCATGGAGAGGATGATGGAGGTCAGCGCCTGGATGCGCGCGGCGGGCTGCTGGAGCCGGCTCTCCAGGATCTCCGGGAAGACTGGGATGATGAAGGTGAAGAGGAAGTTATCTGTGGAATCCCCTGTTGTCAGTATTCCCTGGAAGACCCCGATGGTCCGGGAGGTTCTGGAGAATTGGACCAACCTGAAAACAAAGCCACTGATACTATTGCTATGATGTACGGTCCCGAGGATCGCCATCGATGGCCCAAGGGCTTGGACGATCTCGCGGCGCCCCGTGCCATTGTGCGCGATTGCCGGGGATAGTGAGACGATTGCTCTCTCGCTCATTATTGTAAGCTTTTCGGTATAAATGAAGGTCAAATAAGGAGAATGGCTGGAAGTTGCTTCCCATCCCCATTCAGCAGGTAGTTCCATGGTTACTCAATGGCCGTAACATTGCATATGCTGTTGCACCAGTTCGCTCCGGTGTCTGCCGGGGAGCAGGAATTTAGGTGATACAGTCGAGTTGGGTATACGAGGCTCGCGCCACTTGCTCGGGTGTGCTGACTGGGCGGGATGCGGATGCGTATGTAGGAATGAGTAGTGTTTATTTCTTTTTGCTCGGCTTGCGTGATGGGTTCTAGTTGGGTTGGGGCTGGCTGGTCGTTGCCTGGGAAAGTGAGGATAGTGAGTCTACGACGGGCTCTCACTGGAGGACGGACTAGTCGGAGCATCGATGTAGGAGCCCCGGTCTATGATACTCGGATGAATATGCTTGCTGCCTTGTGCTTCGGCACCTGAAGCACGTCCGAAGATGTCACTTCTCGAGCTCCATTGTCATCACCAGGTACAATGTCTGATATGCATTCTATTAAACCCACGTCTATGCTATGAGCCGGAAAGAAAAACGGTGATGTAAATATATCTTCAGAACAAGATGCAGTGTTGCGGCAGGTCAGACCCGCAGCGAGCGGTTAGTGTAGAATCCCGAGCCAGCAGTCTTTCTGTCACCTCTAACTTTTTTTCGATGATCATTAAGCATGTACTCCACATATCTAAGCAATCACAGCCTCCAAGGCCTGCTCGAAGATCTTCAGGCCCGTCTTGAGCTGCTCCTCGGTGATCGTCAACGAAGGCACGAACCGGATGCAGCCCTCACCGGCGGTGATGATCAGCATGCCACGCTCGCGCGCAGCCGCCACCAAGTCTCCAGCCTTGGCGCCGAACTCGGGGGTGAGTTGCACACCCAGGATCAGACCGCGACCGCGGACCTGCGAGATGACGTTCGGGTGCTTCTGCTTGAGGGCAGCAAAGCCGGCCTGCAGCACGGCCGACTTGTCCTCGACCTGCTTCTGCAGCTCGGGCGCTGCCAACCGCTTGACGATGTGGTGGGCGACGCGGCAGGCCAGGGGGTTACCACCGAAGGTGGTTCCGTGGTCGCCCGGCTTGATGTGCGAGGCAACCGTCTTCTCGGCGATGATGGTGGCACCGATGGGGAAGCCGTTGCCCAGCGCCTTCGCGGTGGTCAGGATGTCGGGGTGAGCGGCCTCGCCGGAGGCGGGCGCCAGCGAAGGGTGGCCGTGCGCCCAGAGACTGCCCGTCCGGGACAGACCGCACTGAATCTCGTCAAAGATCAGGACGGCGCCCACCTCGTCGCAACGCTTGCGCAGAGCAACCAGGAACTCGGGGGTGGCAACGTTGACACCGCCCTCACCCTGGATGGGCTCGACGATCACACCGCAGGTCTTGTCAGTGATGAGAGTCTGGAGCTGCTCCACGTCGTTGTAGTTTCCGTACTTGAAGCCCGGCAGCATGGGCGAGAAGGGGGTCTGGTACTTAGGGTTGGGGGTCGCGGACAAGGCACCCATCGTGCGGCCGTGGAAGGAGTTGTGGAAGGAAACGAGCTCGTGCTTGGCGCCCGAGGGGTCGCGCGAGCGACCGACCTTGCGGGCGAACTTGATGGCAGCCTCGTTGGCCTCGGTACCGGAGTTGGCGATGAACACCTGGGAAGCGTCACGCATGGCACCGGACTCGCGGGTGACCTCGATCAAGAGTTTGCTCAGGGCTCCGGTCCAGGCATTGTAGTACAGGTTCGAGGCGTGGATGAGGATCTCGGACTAGAGGAAAGGCCCTCATCATTAGTGTTCCGGGAGCCAGCATATGTGGAGAGCCTGGGTGCACACCTGTTCGGCGATGATCTTTGCGATCTCAGGGTCACAGTGACCAAGAGAGTTGACAGCAATACCAGACGTCAGATCAAGGTACTTTCTGTTCTCCATATCCCAGAGATAGCTGCCCTGCCCCTTGACCATCACCGGAGGTGGCCGGACGTAGGTGGGGACCATGAACGGGGTTTGAGCATTGATGAAAGAGGAGGAAGCGGAATCGGCGGTGGGATCGGGGTTAGGCAAGGAGCTTTTATCCTGGAGAATGATCGCATGTCAGTAATAGAGTGCGATACTCAAGGGATTTCAATCAGCGCGTTAGAAAATTCACCTTTGCTTGAGGAGCAGCTGTCGCGCTCAAGGACCGCACGGGCACTGCGGTGAACCGAGGACGGAGCACGGAGTTGATTTCAGGGACCAGCTTCCTGGCAGCGGGCAGACGCCGCGAGGCAAGGTGTAGAAGAGCCATTGTATGAACAGACACTGGGGGAATTGACAACGTGTCGATCTCTGGCAACGGGGGGAACTTTATACCAGGAGGAGGTACTAGGTAGGTAGGGAAGCGCGATTTAATGACTCGACGGGCACGCTCGCAGAAGAAGAAACACCGCACCGCAGCCCGACGACCTATCGGAGCCGAGAATCGGAGCGGCAGACCACGCCGTGAGTCACCTGAGTTTGCCATGTTTGCACCTGCCCAGAGCCCACCCAATCTGCTGAAGCTAACCCGACAGGGCAAGAACGCGGTGCGGGTCCTCGGACTGCAGCGCAATCAATCTTTCAGGGCCCCGATGTCCGTGTCATTTTCCCCACTTGCAAGTAACATGATTGAACAGTCACCCCCCAGTACGAAAGAGGAATCTGAGGATATGGGGATGGTTCTGGACATCACTCAAGCTGTGGCTTTCAAGTTGCTTGAGGTCTTCAGGCACTTCCTGTATGATTGAGTCACAGAAGAGTATCACACAAAGTTGCTACAATACGGCCAAATTTCACATAGTATTTTGCATGACAGGCTACTCCACAATCATATCCACTCTGATCAAGCGATTGTACCACATACCCACCTGCCTACCCATCAATCATGTCCTTGGCTCTCTGTGGAGGATGCACTGCAGCCGGGTCGTCCGACGAGCACCGCGACAGGTTCCCTGACTCTATCGCATATTCCATATGACGGTGAGCCACGTCCGAAACACTGTCCAATGCCGTCATACTTGTTGCTTCGCTGGTCTGACTGGCAGTTCGGGTGTTGATCTGAGTCTCTGGCTTGGGTTTGGAGAAGGGGTCTTCTCCCGGCTGCTGCTGTTGCTCCTCTGGTTTGATGATTCCCATCTCAACATACCGATCCATCTCGTCGGTGTCTTTCTGAGTTGACTGTCTCCTAATCTCCCGAACAAACGACCGGCCCTTTGTCCACCAACTGGGTTTCCTCTGGCCAACGCCCATGTCGTCTGCGATGGCATTATCGAGGTCACCGCGACGAGCGATTATAGCCTGGTCGTCGTTCAACTCACAGTGACCACAGATGTTGAACAGTATTATCAGGAGGAGCGGGGGCGTATAACCCAGTCCGTAGATCCAACCGCCGCTGACACCATATCTCAACGGTGACACCGTCCAGTCATACGCAGATGCAATCGCATATCCGACTTTGAACCCGAGTAACACGAGAGCCACGAGGAATTGGGAGGGTGCGGCGTTGAGGTAGAACATAAGCTGCCCCCAGGTACTTGTAGGGCGGATGCGGTAGCGGTACAAACTGTGCTCCAGGCTATAGCAGATAACGAGAACGCCACCCATGGCTAGGAAGCTGGCGATGCGCCATCGGATGTCCGTCGCGGCAGGTTTCGCATCCGCCATCTGTTGGTCCAAGCTTCGTTGCATTTCGATCGGCCCCCAGGAGCGCGGAACGGTCAGGAAGAAGTTCGCGAGGGCTAAGCCGTAGAATATCATCGGAAGCACGAATTCTTGGCCTTGGCGGGTACTGGACTTGCTGAATGCGTAAGGGTCTCGATCGATGATCTGTCGCTCCTGCCAAGAGCCCCTGGGGGTTGTCGCGGGTTAGGAAGGATCCGGGAGAGATGGATTTATGGACGAAGATCCTGCTTACCAGTGCCGAACAGCTTCCCACACGACCGCCATCATCACGGGGGTGAGAATGGTATAGAAGACACTCTGCAGAATCAAGGGACTGTTCACCACATAGTCCCGATCCACATCGATGCTCATGAAACAACTAATCGCTCCGCAGCCGGCAAGCACTAGCATCCAGATCCATTTGGCTCGGCGACCCAAGAGTCTCCACCGTCGATCATGCGGTAAGTATCGTCGCCCGTGTTTGCGCAAATTGATCAAGGTGAAGAAAATGGAGATGGAGAACATCAAGGCGAAGGCCAGGCCTGCTGCTGCATGGGAACCCATATCCCGGACGGGCGCATAGCACGAGACTCCCTTGATGACCGTCCCGTTCTCCGTCTGCATATGGGGCTTGAACTGGTTGAATGCAAGATAGCAATCCGTGCCATTGGAGAGCGTCCCGTTGCTGTAGAGCTTGTAGTGGTAAAGATCGAGGGCGGTGCGATTGAAATGAACCTCGTTGATGAGTACATCGGTGGAGTTGGCCCCGGCCTCGAAAGGCACGACAGCGCGAACGTACAGTAGCGTCATGGCGTGGTCGGTTCAAGATAGGATGGGCCCCAGGCGAGAGGGCGATCGGCTTGGAGACTTGCAAGTTCCCGAGCAGGGAGTGAGGCCGATGATCACCATCAGAATAATCGAGCAATTGGAGGGAACTGATGAGACCAGATGGAAGAGCGAGCTACAGCTGCTCGGGACGCGACGGAGCCATGACGGCAGGACATCAGCGACAAGGTCGCACCCAGGGACGAGTCGATGATGCGCCGAGGACCCAAGCAACCCAATCAGAGTCTGGACCCTGGCTTTTGGGTTCGGGTCATGATCCGTCGATCCAGGATCCAGAACTGTATCATAGTTGCATTCATGGCGGGGTTGGAGGGGTGATAAAGATGGCGAAACTCAGTATAGTTTAAGGAGAGAGAATGAATACTTGATGGAAGGACAACGGGGTGGAGCGAAGGCGCTGGCCGCGACTGGAGGAAATGCGACCTGTCACCGGTCTCCACCACGGGCGCATCAACCATACCCCATTCGGGTCTACATGGGGAATCAAAGAGCTCCACCATGAATACTCACATCTGCACCTCAAGATATCACACACTCAAAGATATCATATCCAAGAATCAAATGTGAACAGACGAAAGGCAAGCTAAGGCTCAGGATAATCAGAAGAGCTACTAACAACCACAACCACCATAAAAACCACAAAAAGCTCACAACTGTCAGGAAGCAGCCCACTACGAATCGATTCTACTTTTAGGGCATACTCCCCAACAGCGCTCACGAAAACCCCTCACTCTAACTAACCTGGCCTCGGGATTTTCATACCAGTTCTTCATCCCGATGGGTGGAGGGCTACTCTGCCTTTTATCTGCTTGCGTCAAGCTAAGGTTCGCCCTCTCCACGGTTCGAACGCAGACCGGCGGCACCACAGCACGTCACCACCCCCGTTGCACCACCCAGCCTGCTGGTTACCGAGCCAAGACCGTTCTGGGGTTATGGCCCAACTACAACTAGCCGCTTTTCCCAGCATATTCACGAGATATCGCCGAACCCCCCCCACTCTGGAGGCTTGGCATGGTTTGCCAAGAATTTGCCCATCCTCGTCTTCTTTCGCTTGTTGTATACTGAGTAGTCGTCTTTTTGACGTAGTTGTCATCTTTGCTATCACCAAGTCGGTTCTATTCTATTTACAGCGCGCGAGATGATCCACGTGCTGTTAATTTATTGTATGGGAAGTAGGATGCTCGTGCCCAGTGCCTTCCATATCTACCCTCCAGCGGATCTAGCAAGTTCAGAATGGTACGCTGCGGACAATATCTTGTACTACTTGTACTACTACGGACGGAGGTAAGGTTTCACAAATATTCTTGAGCAATTGCCTGATGTTGAAAGAGTGACGATAGAAGAGAAATGTTTAGAGTTACGTTCGCGGTGGCGGCAGAGGAGACTGACTTCTCACGCACCCTGCCCGGTCGGAATATTGCACAGTTGAGACGTTTTACTGTTGCCTTGCCTTGGAGGCATCATAACCAACCAATCTTGAAAAAGATGTGACGGAAGGAGTTTGTCCGGCTGTGTTGAGTTAATTGTACTGAAGATTAAAGAAGCACTGTCGGGTTGGAACAATATTACCCCAAGCCAGCAAGCAAGCTGCATTGCATGCACGGTTGTTGGCATTGCGTTCCAGGCTGATTGCAAGCCCCACTCACGCGGGCTGTTAGAGTGCTAGTCAAACCTGGGGATTGATTGCTTATGCTGCAGAAATGCCTCCGCATGACGAAGCTTGTTGCTCACGTGGTGTCCGTGCGCCATGCTTTGCTGCAGACTTGGTCCAGGAAAGGGGCCCTCATTGAAGGGAGTGCTTCGCTTCCATGCTCTCTCAAGCTCTTCTGCCGCTCGCATTGCATGACATGATGACTTCTCGCAAGGGTTCGGCTGGACGGAAACGGTGCAGAGTAAATGACAGGGAGCATGAATGGGCAAGGACAAGATTGAGATGATTTCATTCCACCAATTAGTACTACCGACCGACTTCCTGTGCTCTGCCATTGCATGAACGATCATTATGCCGTGACGAATACATCCAAGCGAGCTGCAAGGAGCCCTGCAAACCTCCTCATCGTGCACCGGATCACTCTAGCTGCAGGGCTGCCGAACGGCGAATCAAGCCACCGGCCCCTCAATGTTATTACTTTGGGTGGTGGAATCGTCATCAGTCCGAGCCGTCTCCGACCTCCTAGTACTGCTAGAGCCAATCGCCAGCAATGCGCGTGCCACAGGGGTATCTTCATCGGCAACCCAATCCTCCTCGAGACGAGCCCTGGCCGCAACCCCGACGGCCAGCCATGGTTTTCCCACCATTTGGCATGTATATCGTCAAATCACAGAGGCACAGGCGAATCTCCCAGTCTGGCAGGGATCATGTCCTCGCGCCGGCAAATCATGCTGAAACTCCCGGTTCATGGGGTTTAATCTACACGATAATCCCACCACGGAAATTCACGCCGCGAGTTTAAGAACTAGATCCGTCGCTCCCCAGCAGTATATAAGGCCAACATCTAAGCCTTCTGTCCAAGAAAAAGCCAAGTCGACTAAGGACGGGCAATCGAAAGCTTGGTTTTTCTTGTTGTTACTCACGTTGTTTCTTCCGACCATGCTCGTCAACTCGGCCGTTCTCTTTTCGCTGGCCCTCGGGGCCATCACCGTCAGCGCCGACCCGGCTCCTGAGCCCCCTGCGATCACCGCAGCGCCCAAGGTGGGCGATTTGGAGAAACGGGCGACCACCTGCACGTTCTCGGGCTCCAACGGTGCCTCCTCGGCGAGCAAGTCGAAGACCTCCTGCTCGACCATCATCCTCTCCAGCGTGGCCGTCCCATCCGGCACGACCCTGGACCTGACTGACCTGAACGACGGAACTCACGTACGTATTCCCCTCCATTTTCACACTTCCTCCGTACACCAAATGAATGTCGCACCAGGTCATCTTCGAAGGCGAAACCACCTTCGGCTACGAAGAATGGTCCGGCCCGCTGGTCTCCGTCTCCGGCACGGACATCACCGTGACCGGGGCCAGCGGGGCGTACCTCAACGGCGACGGCAGCCGCTGGTGGGACGACGAGGGCTCGAACGGGGGCAAGACCAAGCCCAAGTTCTTCTATGCGCACGATCTGACCGACTCGGTCATCAGCGGGATCTACATCCAGAACTCCCCGGTGCAGGTGTTCAGCGTGGACAACTCCAACTACCTGACGCTGGAGGACATCACCATCGACAACACGGACGGCGACGATGACGGCGCCGCGAACACGGACGGGTTTGATATTGGTGACAGCACCTATATCACCATCACCGGCGCGAACGTGTACAACCAGGATGACTGCGTCGCGATCAACTCTGGCGAGGTACGTCCGAATCGCCCCCAAACCTCCCCTTTTTCCAAAAAAAAAAGATCAAACAGCAACTAACCCCAACGGTACAGAACATCTATTTCTCCGGCGGCGTCTGCTCCGGCGGCCACGGCTTGTCCATCGGCTCCGTCGGCGGCCGCAGCGACAACACCGTCAAGAACGTGACCTTCTACAACTCGGAGATCAAGAACTCGCAGAACGGTAGGCCTTTCCCTGCCCTAAAAAAAACAGTCAAGTCCCGCATAAGCTAATAACCGCAGGCGTTCGCATCAAAACCATCTACGGCGACACCGGCTCCGTCTCCGAGGTGACCTACCAGGAGATCACGCTCTCCGAGATCACCGAGTACGGGATCATCGTGGAGCAGAACTACGACGACACCTCGGAGGCGGCCACCACCGGCGTCCCGATCACGGATTTCGTCCTTGATGACGTGCAGGGCACCGTCGAGAGCACGGGCACCGATATTTATATCGTGTGCGGCTCGGGCAGTTGTTCCGACTGGACGTGGACGGATGTGAGTATCTCCGGCGGGAAGACGAGTTCGTCGTGCACGAATGTGCCGAGTGGGATTAGTTGTTAGTATCTGAGAGGGTTTGAGAGGGTTGGGGGTGGTGGGGGTTGGGGTGGAGGGGTGGTGTATATACTGTAGCAGAGTGGTATCTTTCGAGGGTGTTGAATTTCAGGTCGTGCGTTGAGAATTCTGCCTTCGTTGGGTAATGGAGAGTCCTCGTCGAGAACTATTGATGGACAACAGTTGACTAAGTAGATGATGAGGAGACAGCATTGATTGCTGCGTAGAAAACTTTGATGCGGAAGGGAAGGTGGTTTACGAATCCATGATTTGACGGCGACCCTTTGTCTCGTGAGCTGCGTGGGTAGAGTTAGTCATGGGACATCCGTCGCTTTACGCATATTCCGTAGAACCGCTAGGACCGGGGTCTCGGTCAAAACCATTCCAGCACATCTACACACATTGCGCTTACTCTTCAAACCCCAACAGCGCTTACTCTTTCAGCCGAGCATACATCATCATCATCATCATATTCCACGGTCCTGTCAAACTTTTATCTAAGCCCAACCCCAACCCCAACCCCAATCTACTGCAACCGCTGAATGACCTTGATCAGATCCGCCGACACCCCCATGGCAGTGACATCGCCACCGGCACCGGCACCCTGCACGATCAAGGGGTTGGCGCCGTACCGCTTGGTGTAGAAGCTGATGATGTTGTCGCTGCCCTTGAGGCCGGCGATGGCGCTATCCTTGTCGAACTTCTCCAGGCCGACGCGGACCTTCTTGGCGCCGACATCGACACTACCGACGAAGCGCACGACCTTGCCCTCCTTCTCGGCCCCCTCCTTGATGACGGTCATCTGGCCATCGAACTCGGGCAACCGCTTCATGAACTCGGCAATGCCCTCCGCCGTAGACGGCACATCGGCCAGCTCCTTGGGGATGAGCGACTCGATAGGGAAGGAGTCGGGGCTCTGGACCTCCAGGCCGGCAATGCGGGCGAGGATGGTCAGCTTGCGCGCGACGTCCATGCCGTTCAGATCATCGCGGGGATCGGGCTCGGTGTAGCCGAGCTCCTTGGCCTGCGCGACGACCTCACTCCACTTGGCGGAGCTGGCCGCACCCACGGGCGCGAACGTGTTGAAGAGGAAGGACAGCGTGCCGGAGAAGACACCCTCAATGCGGGTGACCTCGTCGCCGGTGGCGACCAGGTCGCGCAGCGTCGAGATCACGGGCAGGCCCGCGCCGACGGTGCTCTCGTGGTAGACGAGGGCGTTGCCCTCGGCCGCGGCGGCGAAGATCTCCTTCCACAGGCTCAGGTCCGACGAGAAGCCCTTCTTGTTCGGGGTCACGATCGAGATGCCCCGGCGCAGGAAGGTCGGGTACGACGACGCCAGCGCCGGGTCGCTCGTGTTGTCGACAAGAATCGACCGGCCCGGCGCCGAGGACAGGTACGCCGCGATCTCATCGGGAGTCAGCGCCCCAGACTTGGTCAGCTGCGGCTCCGCCGAGGCGGTCTTCCAGTCCGCCGCGGGGATGGCCGGCGTGTAGGAGGGCGTCGGCGAAAGGAGCGTCTGCGTCGACCGCGCGAGGAGGATCAATTGCGGGGCGTTGGGCAGGCGCGCCAGCTGGCTGAGGAAGGAGGTTCCCACGCCTCCGACGCCTGGTTGTAAATGGGCTGGTCAGTATGGGCGGGCACTTGGCTTGCGGTGAGGGGGAGGGGTGGCCGTGTTGGTGGGGGAGCAGCAGGAAACACAATGTGCAATTGTCGTTGTGGAAGAACGGGTGGTTTGCTTTTCAGGCTACTTACCAATAACACCGAGATAGATAGGAGCAGGCATGATGAGATGGTCAATTGGTCTGTTTCTGGTTGATACCTTATCCTGAAGTAGTAGGAAGAGGGGAAGAGGAGAAGACCGAAGCAGCTCAGCTTCAAAAGCCGCTGCGGGGCAGCGCTGACTCATCGTCCTATATCGGCGCACGCCATGTGGCTTGGCAATTTGAGTGGCGCAGGTGCATCCAGCAGGAACAGTGCGCGATGTCTAGTATATTTATGAGAAAGCCTGTATAGCAGTACTGTGCGGGACCTTCACTCTTCGAATCATTTTGCATACTTCCATTCTGGATTAAGAACATCTAAGTATGGTGTAGACTTGTACCGTCGGAGTCAATAACCTCATCAGAACAATATATTTCGAGCGTTCTTGGCATATTTCGCATAATCAGCATTAGTTACGCTTAAACAACAAAGCCTCTGAGAGCAAGAAGCCCCAGCTCATCTTGTTCCTCTGGATCTCTTTGTGGTCGATACTATTCTGGGCGTATCTTGTTCGACCGCTTGGGGTGCCATTGTCATGAAACAAACAACAAAGAGAAACATGATATACCATCGAACCAACGACCAGGTTTATTTTTGATCATATAACACCTGGAAAAAGCATTCTGTATATACAACCCTTCAACTGTTGCATTGTAATGTTTTACTTTCCAATGTCTATAGCCACAAAGCAATGTGTCAAGCTAGCGTTGAAGGACTCGAGCTGTACTTATCCTTCATGGTTGCCCGCAGTGACTACTAGTACCCATCGTCAAGCATTCACCGTGACTACCACTATCTGCATCTTGTACTTTTGTATAGAGAAGTTTTTAGTTCGTACAGAGATCTTACACTAGAGATATTATACTCAGACATGACCGAAGAAAACACGCAAGCGAAGCAAAGGGCAGAGACTCCACCCGCCAAGGTAAGTTCACGTCGCGCACTGCTCTACGCACAGAAACTCAACGATCCCTCGATAAGGCCCTCACCATTAATCCTAACCACACAGAAACGACGAACCTCCCTACGGCAAGAATACACAATCCCCCCACTAGAAGTACCCCCCAACAGCATCCCCTTCGTAACCCGCCCCTGGTGCGCCATCAACGGGGGCAAAGGCACCCCCCTCCCTCGACAACCCCGAAAAGAAATCCAGAGCCTGCTTTGGACCGTCCCATTCGGCTACCGCCCCGAAGATGGGACCTTTACCGTGACCGATGAGCTGCTCCAGACACATCTGACGAGACTGTACGCCCAGATCCAGCGGTTCCGGGAACGCTACTCGTGTACCCTGGAGGAGATCACGCAGTTAGCGCCCATGAAGAAGAAAGCGATTCTCCAGCATCTGGGGTCCTTCTGTCGGTGTAGGGACTGGCCCTCCATCAACAAAATGCTGAGCCCCAGATCCTATGAGCGGTTTCTGAACAAGTTGCTGGAGACGGTGCTGGTGAAGCAGTGCTATGAGAAGGTCATTTCGAATCCGTTCTTCTATGTGACGCCGTCGGTGGCGGTCGGTGACGCTGGCGGTTCGTCCTGGTCGTTTGGCGCGGAGCTTAGGGGTTTGTATGAGATGCTTTTGAGGGGTGAGTGCGTACAGTTGTTTGTTTCGAGGTCCAAGAAGACGTATACTGAGGATTTATGCTGACGAACGGTTGTTGATGGTTCCAGCAAATCCAGCCAAGGCCCATGAATGGCGGCAGACGCTGACGCACCTCCTGCAGGCGGATTATCATGGAGGATCCGACGATTGGCGGGTGGCCTTCGCAGCTAGCGAGAGCTTAGAGGCGGCCTGTCAGAGCTTTGCCCAGAGCATGCTGGGGCAGTGTGAGGCATTTCGCGTGCTTCTGCGGGACTCGGCGGACAGCGAAGGCAGCGACGAGCGGTGTCGTGATCTGGTTGAGATCTTTCGAGTCGCGGCGGAGCTGTCGGTGGGGTTTGCGGCAAGGAAGGACGGGTTCGTGTTCCATTTGGATGCTGAGCATGTTCCGCATACGGTTGCGCTGATGCGTGAGAGGGTCGTAACCAAGAGTGGGGCTTGGAGGGGAGTTGAGGCCTTCAAAGGCCGGCGTCCGGTTCTCGTTCGGCATCCGCTTATTGAACGTTCAGTCTTGGTTGGGGAAGCTCAGGTGAGCGACCGGGGGAGGTGTAGAGAGGAATGGCGGAAGGCGAACGAACACAGCTTTGATTCGGAGGAGGAACTCAATCGAAGACTTGATTTGCATATGCCGATGTTCAGCGTGGGTGACTCGCACCTTACCCCGGTCTATCATGGCGATTACCTTTTCGTGAAAGAATAGGGGCTGGACGAGCTTTCGATATATGATTAGCCTTACGTTTTACATCCCGCTAGGGTTCGCGCAGCGTTCTTCAGCCACATCTTCGATTACCGTCAAGTGGCTTGTATGTATAGTAGTCTATGAAATGTGATCCATCTCGACAAGAGTCATTGTACAAACAATGAATCTCGTGTCGTTAAGACAGCTGTTCGGTTTCCTCGTCTGAGAAAAGGACTATAGGATCTAGTGCCTTCGCGAAATCCCAAAAGCCAACAGGTCGTATTAGTTGAAATGGAGCCAAGCCTGCAACTCTAGTCCCATTTCACAATGTCGGAAAGGTCTCATTCAATTGCCCCATCGGATGACGGAACATGCTTTTTGAAGCATCGTCCCTATATCGATTGTGTGACAACAGATTCCATTGTCGAAGGCGAACTGTCGAAGCTGGGGTTGCGCCAGAGGCGCGGTTTGGTGTGACCACGAGTGAAAAGAGATATCAAACTCTGTGACTCCTCGTCACCTCATATCTGTATCCTCATTCTCCTGTCCATTACCACTGCTATCCCCGCCTCTGGCACCTGCATCATTCCCTCCCAACGTCGCCGCCCCGGGCTGTGTTTGTTGCTGCTGCTCACCGGCCGCAGCCGAAGCCGAAGGGAAACTCAAATACTTCCAATCCTCGATCTCCTCGATGATACACTTGAGCCGATCCCGGATACTCTCCACCGCATACGTCCCCAAGATCAGCCTCAAGGGCGGGTACGAGCAATGCCCAAGCTGCCAGACCAGATGCGCCGCCTTGACCGCACTCGCCGGCTGCTTATCGCCCAACCACATGAGCATTCTCTTGGCATGCGCCGCCGGTGACGTGGAGACATTATACGGCTCGCTCGGCGGCTTGACGAGGAAATGCCCATACAACGGCAGCGGGGACGTCAGATTATGCTCATTGGTACCCATCCCACCGCTGCCACCAAACAAATCCCGATGCATATGATCCGAAACCAAGTCCCCGGTGTCATCCCGCCGCATATGGCCCGGCTCAACCAGCGTGGTCTTGACATTGAAATGGTCCACCTCGTACAGCATGCTCTCCATCAGCCCCTCGACCGCGTACTTGGACGCGCAGTAAGGCCCCAGCCCGGGGACGCCCAGCGCGCCCGACGTCGAGCTGAAGATGAGGTAGCGGCCGGCCCGCCGCTCGCGGAAGTGCGGCAGCGAGAGCTGGATGATGTTCAGGGTGCCCGTGAAGTTGGTCTCGAACTGGTCCCGGATGTCGTACTCGTCCTGGTCCTCGCAGGCGCCGATCACCCCGTACCCGGCGCAGTTGGCGATGATGTCGATGCGGCCGAAGCGCGCGATCGTCCGCTGGATCACCTGCTTCACCGTCTCGCGGGCGCGCACGTCGCACAGCAGGCCCAGGCAGTTCTCGTGCTCGGCCTCGAGGTCGCGCATCGCCTCGGGGCTGTTCTCGAAGGTCCGACCTACGGCCGCGACCAGGTCATCGCGGCTGAGGGCCGTCTTCACGAGGGAGCGGCCCATGTGGCCCGTCGCGCCGAAGATGAGCCATACGAGCGGTCGCGGCGGGTTCTGCGGACCGGGCGGGTCGGTGGTCGAGGGGAGTTGGAGCTTCGGCTCTCGGGTTCCTGGGGTGGTTGCGGCGGAGGGGGAGATGGGATTGGTAGACGATTTCGGAGGGGAGGCGTAGAGATCCATCGAGGATGCAGGAGGAGGTCGTCGTACTCCGCGTGTTGACAGGGACGAGCGCCGTCATTCTGTCGGTCACATTTTCCCCGGACGCATTCCCCGCAGCTGGTCCGGATGGTCACGTGATAACACTCTTATCGATCACTGATAAAGAAGGTCCCTCGCTGGTCTGGTTCAGCTGACAGTAACATACTGTTTATATATTACAACATAGCAGGAGGTTTGACAAACTTTGAGGAGCATTGTCTACATCCCACTTAACTATGAAACGATGTAACAGGGTGATACGCAAATAGGTGTTATAGTATTCTAAGGAAAGTGGGATGATAAATAGGACAAACAGCTGTTATATGCCATAGAAACATTAGTATCATCAGAAGCAGTTATGGAGGCCAGACTGCATTCGAGTATTTGTTGAATAAGGTCCTAATCCACTAAGGGGGAATAATGCTTCGCAGTACCTATGAGTCAAGATCACTACGATACCTTTCTGGCACGCACTTATTCAGCCTCCTGTGGCAATCATTCATACATAACAATAAGCACATTTGTGGAATATAGACTCCAGTAAGTTCTACGTAGATTCTGTGACTGAGAGTCAAGTGAGACTACGTCACGGCCCGCGGCCCGCACGGCCTTTGGGCCGCCACGGGCCATGGCCCTTACCCTTTGTGCCAGCGCATGCATGCCTAACTAGCTTGGCCGGTATCTCGTGTATAAGGAGCGCTTCTCTGTCTTCTCGGGCATTTTTTTTTCTAAACTGTCATCAACTTCTGGAAAGGCTGTGGTCTCTCGTTCGAGTACCGAGGTTTGTACCTGTGTATAAGGAACTGGATACTGAGACTAGCACGACGCTACGAGGTTCGGAACGGGCATCAATACTGTACATACATCAGCTGTACATCGCGCAATATGACTTTAGATTCTCGCTCAACTTCGATTCCATGTCTAGAGACGGGGCAGCGGCAGAGGGCTCGCAACAGAAAGCGATTGCGAGCCCTGGCTAGGGGATCTAGGGAGAAGGGGAGCTGGAAGAAAAACGTGAAGGTGAACGCGAGGGTGAAAGCGAAGGTGAAAGCGAAGGTGAAAGCGAAGGTGAACGCGAAAGTGAACGCGAAGGTGAACGCAAAGGTGAACACGATGGTGAACGCGAGGGTGAACGCGAGGGTGAACGCGAAAAGCAAGCGAGAGGAGGAGAGAGGGGGGGAGAGAGGGGAGAGAGAGGGGGCGAGAGAGGAGATGAGAGAGGAGATGAGTACCAAAACAGTCAATGTGGAAGAAGACGAGAGTCAGCATAGATGGGCTGATAGTCAGGAAAGTGTTGTGCACGATGATACTGTTTGCGGTTATAGTAAAAACCCTGCGGATCCCAACAGGTATGATCCGGGAAATTGGAACGGACTCTTTGAGGGTTAATTTGGAATTTGACGGTATTGAGTCAATGGGCTTGATACTCGGTCAGTGACGCTCACTTTGCACTGGGTGGTGAGCGAGGGGTTCTTTGAGCGCGTTCAATTGTTGTTCGACGCGTCTGGGGAAGTGTCTTTTTATTGGTTGATCGCGAAGCGCACTTTATCTGCTGCGGTTTTACAAACCATGGATTTTAAATCATGGATGCTTGCTGACCTTGCTGCTGGCTGTTTAAGTTGATTTGGAGTTGTGTCTTTTCTGTTTGACATTTTGTTTCTTTATGTTTTGACTTCTACGGGATACTTGTATTTCTTGTTTGCATGCTTTTGATTTATATACAGATGAGCAGAATGTCAAGAATCGCTTCGTAATTGTCCACGAGCCATATAACCCAGGCTATTACTCTGAGAGGCACTTATATTATATACTGTGTGGAGGACTTGAGCTCTAACGAGTCGTCTAGCCAGTACAAGCTGAAGACAGAGCGCCTAACTCTTACCGAGGACAGTACATAAGAGCAACAATCACTATCGCCGCGATCTCGGCTAGACCCGCTCGGAGACGGCCGACGTGGGGACCACCACCGTGCGGCCGGACGAGTATATCAGCATCTTATTTGAATCCGAACGCCTTCTGCTATTTATCTGTATCAGGAACCAACTCAACCCCCTCTATACCCACCTTACCTCAACCGTTTCCATCCACACCCACTCACCATGTCCACCTCCCTCCCCGCCCTAGCAACCCTGACGTCAGAGCCCCGAGACCGCCAATTCCAAGTGCTGGACACCCTCTTCGAGCCGTCGCCCGAACTACACACCCTCATGGCGCCCGTCCTCGCCCACCAAACCTTCGACAGCTACGCGAGACTGATCGACGCTGTCGGCGGCCGCATGTCGGCCCTGTCCGCGGCCGACTCCTCCAAGGACCGCGAGATCCTGTACGGGATCCTGGGCTCGCATCCCCGGCTGGGACGGCCCAAGGCCGGCCCGACGGAGCATCTGAGCGAGCTCAGCAGGAAGGAGCAAGCGCAGCTGAACACGGGGGCGGAGGAGCAGGCGGAGCGACTGCGGGTCTTGAACGCCGAGTACGAGGAGAAGTTTCCGGGGTTGCGGTTTGTGTACGTTCTTTTTTTCTGATGGGTGTGGATTTTTTGGAGTTAGAGGGGGACTAATTGATTGGTTTAGGACCTTTGTTAATGGGAGGGATAGGGATGTGATTATGGAGGAGATGCGGAAGAGGATTGATAGGGGGGATGCGGAGGCGGAGGTTGAGGAGACTATTCAGGTATGTTGACGGAGATAATCTTGTGGTGGAGGGATGCTAATTGCATCTTGTAGGCTATGTGTGATATTGCGAAAGATCGCGCGCGGAAGTTGGAGTAGGGTTGGCTCACAACGTTGTTGAATGTTGTTGAAATGCAACTCAGTATCGGGTCACCGATTATTTCTCAATTTGAGATACGCCTATTACTTTTGCACTAGGATAATGCGACGACGTGACCAAGAATGTATTGGGTCGTTCAACGACTTGCAACAGCACTGGGGATGACAAGCTCTCTTTAGATCTATATACACGCTGGTTCCCAGGTCCCACCAAAAATGTGGAAAATCTAGTCCATCATTCATAACTGTGGCATCTTATTTTCCGAACGCCTCCTTCTGCTCCGGCACCAAGGTGATCATCTCACCCTTCTCAACCGCCGACCGCAGGTTGTTCAAGACCAAAAGCTCCATCTCCCGCTGCGTCTCGTACGTCATGGTACCAATGTGCGGCAGCAGCATCACCTTAGGGTTGCTGACCAAGCCTGGCTCAATCTCAGGCTCATTCTCGTAGACATCCAGACCAGCAGAGAGAACCTGTAATCATCAGCACGTACCCCAAACTTCCCTCAGGGTGGTATCTTACCTTGCCGGATTCGAGCGCAGCAACCAAGGCCTTCTCGTCAATCAGCGCTCCACGGGCCGTGTTAACGATCACAATCCCGTCCTTCATCTTCTGGAACTCCTTCTCCCCGATAATGTGACGGGTCGACGCATTGAGCGCCAGGTTCAGACTCAAAACATCGGAGGTAGCCAGCAACTCATCGAAGGAGACATACGTAGCGTCTCCCTCGAGCTCCGGAGACAGCCGTGACCGGTTGTGGTATTGGATCTTCATGCCAAAGGCTCTTGCACGGTTGGCCATTTCCTATCCTCCCAGGTCAGCAACCCCAACTCGTATCGTCTTCCCGGTAATGACAGCAACTCACGCGACCGATGCCTCCCATGCCCAGAATACCCAGAACCTTACCCTGGGGATCACGGCCAAGTCCCGTTTGTCCTAGGAATTTACCTGCTCGAATTAATATCTGCATCAACCTTTCACTCCCCTCGAGTGCAAAATGACCTACCCTCGCGCAGCGAAGAAATTGGAATATAAGCCTGGCGCAGCGCGCCGATCATCAAGAAGATCCCCACATCCGCTGTGGCGTTGTTGACCGCGACGGGGGTGCTCGAGACGGCAATCCCTAAGTCCCGCTCTTTTAGCAATTGATGCCTACCAGCAAGAGTGGGGAAAAATACCTTTCTCTGTGCATCCCTTGACATCGATATTATCGTAGCCTGCCCCGTTGTGGCAGATGTATTTGAGGGACTTGGGAAGGACGGAGAGCAGCTCTGCGTTGAAGGGGCCGGTGAACTACCCAAACATTAAATGTTGGTATGTATCATGAAATGATCAGGGAGAAAAGCTCGTACCTTTGTGGATGTATTCGAGCGGTAGATCGCGACCACGTCGTCGTATTGGCCCTCCTTGCTATTGCGGATGAAGTCGTCGCGGGTGCCCTCGGGGAATTCCTAGATCGAACGCATTAGATCCGTTGTCGCCTCGGTGCTTGCATGTGCTTGATTATGGATTGCACAAAAGGTCTCACCTTGAGGGTCAGAATGGCGGATAGGTCTTCCCATTCCTTGCGGGAATGGGTGATTGCACCGATCAATAATGCGGCGGGCATGATGTCAGAGTTGGAGGGGGAAAAGAAGGGTGTGCGCGGGGTAAATGTTGGTGGGAAAAGTTGTGAGATGCGATTGAGGAATGAAGAGAGGAGAAGAAGAAAGGGAAGGAGGAGAAATGCAAGATTAGAAAGTCAACTTAACTACTGAACTCCAGAGCCACATGTGATTATTCATTATCTATCTCGCCATGACCCCATCGCAGCTTTGCCTATTTCCTTCCTATTCAATCAAGTTCCAGCGACTGGCTGTTTTGGCTGTCTTGCTCCAGCGATCGCGTGGGGGTTGCGTTGTGTATTACCTGCGGGTTACATTACTGGGACAGAACTGTATTACACGGGGGACAAAGGCACCAGTTCTTTGTCCGACAGGATACTTCAACTCGTCACCGCAGTTGAAACTCTGAGTGAACATAGCTGTTGCGAGGAGGTACTCTGGTTATCTAACTATGCGTCCTGTTCCACCTGTTCATGCTGGACCGTCGTGTATTTTGTGAGTGTGTCAAGAAGATACTGATACTGTACCATACATCCTCTATGCGCGGATAATACGTCGGCTATTGAAGATACGGGATCAAAACCCGACGCGGAGAAAAGTCCGGGCTGACCCCACGCCGGCTACCGCTTCAATTCCCAATCCCCTCATCTCTCCGCTTGAGTCAAATTAAAGCATGAGTGCTCCTCCCCTCCTCCCATTCCAGTCTAGAGACACTCTCACGTTCCTCAAACAAGTCTCTGACTGAGCTCATCATGGCTACCCCTACAACCACCACAGCGCTCGTCCTCCACGGCGCCAAAGACCTTCGTCTAGTAAGTGCTACCAGCTATTTTCAACCCCGCATTTCCCATCACAACAACACCCACCACCCCGTTGAACCGCAGCTAACCACCACCGGAGGAATCGCGACCCCTCTCCCCGCCCCAAGGCAACGAAGTCCAAGTCGCCGTGCGCGCCACCGGCCTCTGCGGCTCCGACCTCCACTACTACACTCACGGGCGCAATGGCGACTTCGTCGTGCGGGCGCCCATGTGCCTGGGCCACGAGTCCTCGGGCGTGGTGACGGCGATCGGGCCTGAGGTGACCAGCCACCAAGTCGGCGACCGCGTCGCGATGGAGGTCGGCCTGCCGTGCCGCCAATGCGCACTCTGCCGCCAGGGCCGCTACAACATCTGCCTCAACATGCAGTTCCGCAGCAGCGCCAAGGTCTTCCCGCACCTGGACGGCACGCTGATGGAGCTGACCAACCACCCGGCGGACATGTGCCACAAGCTGCCGGAGCGCGTCTCCTACGCCGGGGGCGCGCTGGTCGAGCCCCTGGCCGTGTGCCTGCACGCGATCCGGCGGTCGCGGCCCCCGACGCGGGACGAGGTCGCCCTCGCGCAGTCGGTCGGCGAGAAAACCCCGGCGCTGATCTTCGGCGCAGGTGCCATCGGCCTCCTGCTGGCCGCCGCGCTGGCCGTCTCCGAGAACTTCTCCTCCATCCTGGTCGCCGATATCGATGCCTCGCGGCTGGCCATCGCCGAGTCGCTGGGCCTGGGGCTGAAGACCGCCCTGATCCCCAAAGCCGATCCCGCCAGCTCGCCGCCGCCCCCCAAGGACGCGCCGCACGCCGAGCAGACGACGTATGCCCTGCAGAACGCGCAGCGGGTGGCCGCGGCGCTGAAGGAGGCGGACGGTGCGACGTCGGGATTCGCCCGCGTGTATGACTGCACGGGCGTGCCGGCCTGCGTGCAGGCGGGCATCTACGCTGCGGCTTCAGGTGCGGTGCTCGTGCAGATCGGGATGGGTAACCCCATCCAGACCCTGCCGGTGGGCGCCGCCGCCCTGCGCGAGGTCGATATCATCGGGGTCTTCCGGTATGACGGCTATGCGTACCCCGCTGCTATCGCGCTGATGGCCAGCGGGAAGTTTGATACCGTGGAGCAGCAGGTTGTGACGCACCGGGTCAAGCTTGCGGATGGGGATCGGGCCTTCTCGCTGGCGGGCAAGGGTGTCGATGAAGAGGGTAAGCCCGTCGTTAAGGTCGTTATTGAGAGCTGACCGGGCAAGTCTTTTCCCTGTTTGATTTTTTGTATGTTATTTTATGATTATACCCAGGAGATGGTGGGGCATGAAAAATTATGATGACGCGAGCGATTATGGTGTTACGATGCATGGTGGGGTAAAGGTTAGAGATTATCATAGCTGTCAATAAGTTTGAGCCTACCCAGGTGATGATAGAATGAACCAGAGTGATTTGATTTTTTCGATCAACTCAAGATGTAGTGGATTCGGATTACTGCCCAGATGCTTAGATCGCTAAGGCTGAATACCATTAAAGCACAACGAAGTGGAGAAAGAAAAGGCAAGTGACACGCCCGTGACCGTGTTGAGCCTTGTTTTGCTGCCTGAGGCGTGGATGATAGGTAGTAGATCCTCAAGTCCTTAGCTATACGCGGCTGGGTTTTCCGCCATGGGGTTTCTGGGTTCAAACTCTAGTCATGGCAGTTTTCTCCCCTCGCTTTTCGAGGGATTTGTGTCATTGATGTGTCGTGGAAAGGAGGGATGCGGTATGCGTTGGCGCGACGAATGGACCGTCCCGAATCACAAGCCCACATAGGCTGTGCACAGTCGTGTGACGTTTCGCAGCGAGCAATCCCCATCAGGATCTATCTCCCTTCGAGTAAGTTGTCTCGTGCTCTCTTCACCAAATGCCAGAGGTAACAGTCCAGCAAAGATGATAGCCACGATGAGTAGCACATTCCGATCCTCCACTATCTGATTTGCCAACCCGTTACGTTCTATATGTCGCAGCAGTTGAGTGGTCATCTTACGCGCTGATCACCCAAGAACTTTCGAGAAAGCCCCTGAGAATACTCTCGCACCTAGCCCTGCGCATATTCCCTCTACTACACTCGTACCGCCCTCGTCGATACAGCACTGCCAGAGATCTGCGTCGACCGACCGAGAGTCCCGCTATTATCTCAACCTCAATGTAAGCCCGATCAGTGTAGCATACGCCCCGATACTCAAGGCCGTGAGGATCAACACCGCATTCCCACTGGTTCGAAATTTGTGCCGGTTGATCCCATCCTCCCCGAGCTCCGAAAAGAACTGCTTGTTGCCCTGCTGGCGGCGGTAGAGGCCGATCATGAGCACGCCGGTGCCGTAGATGGCGAACAACGCGCCCGTGCTGTAAAACTCATTGGTAAAGATCTTCAGGACGACGAGGGCGAAGGAGAACTGCGAGAGGGCGGTGCGGACGTAGGCCCCTTCGAAGGTGCGCTGGGCGGCGCGGACTTCCACGATCTCGTCGGAGGTGAGTGCCACCGTGCGGGCACGGTGCATTCGCAGGTGGTAGCGATCTGCCGCGCGACGCTGTGAGTGGTCATTGAAATCAGCATGCGACCAGCAACTTGTCATCGAAGGACGAGGATTGAAAGGCCCGGGTCAGTTCTTTGACGCACCTCAAACATTTCGACGCGTCATACAGGGTACCTGATGTGGTTCGTCGATGGGGCAGGGTGAGGCGCGGATAAGAGTGAGTTGTGCCAGCAACAGCTTCCCGACGTCAGAGTCGTCTCTTGTTGTTGGCAGACCGACTTTTTTTTCAAGGGGATTATGAACGCATTCTCTTTTGAACTGGAAAGAGTGTCAGCTGGTTGACCGTCGAGTTTCTTTTTCTCTTGTTGCCGCTCACGTGGACCAGCTGCAGCTGGAAGTGGCTTAGTTTGGAAGACGCGATATTGCATCAGACCATCTCCAGCAACACGTCGCGGACTTGGACAGTGTTGGGAATTTCTGGCGATCCTTCAGATGCCACAAATTTGTGCAGAATGCAGTTCAAGCTGGTATGGTGATTTATGACTCGTTACATCGGTCAGTAGCCCTGGGAGTTCGTGGTTGGAGTTGTGTAAGTCAGAAGTACTGCAGTAACAAGAGTCAACCTGGAAGGGAGCGGGAAGCGATGATATCAGCCTACTGGGTTTCTCCACCAATAACGATTCTCCCTTCTCTAATCCTCAACGCCAGAACCCGTCGGCTATCGAGATTGCCCAACTCGGTCAGAGAGCCACCGCCTCCCCCATCTTTTGAACCTTAGAACGCTTATCAGCCCGCTGCTATCGGTCTTCAATGAGCCGATCAACTTCCTGCTCGGTTACTAAAATGGGGGTCTGGACATTGCATTGCTTGGCCTGCAACTGCATGCCGGTCCGACTCTCACTCCTTGGCTACGCTGCCTTTTCTCCTCACTTCTCCTCTTCTTCTGCTTCCTCCTCTCTTTCCTTCTCCGCATTCTGCTCATTTCATTGTCTCTCATTCTCAATCCGATAGCTGAGCTCTGCGATCCGTCAAGATGAGCAAGGTATTCGATGCGGCGGAAGGTATGTTGCATAGCGACTCACCACGATACACTCAATCGTGCCTCACATGAGCAATAGTCGAATGAAGGCTAACCTCCCTTTAGTCGCAAAACACAATACCGCAGAGAGCTGCTGGGTGATTCTCTACGGAAAAGTTTACGATGTATGAGCAGCCCCAATTGTCCTACTCATGGCTCATGGTTCAAAAATTGACTTCATTTGGGAAAGGTCACCAACTTTCTATCCGACCATCCTGGCGGTGCCAAGATCATCCTCAAGCTCGCAGGCAAAGACGCCACTGAAGAATACGACCCAATCCATCCTCCAGGGCTTCTGGAGGAGAACCTCAAGCCCGAAAACTTCCTTGGGACCATCAACGCAGACACCCTACCCAAAGTACAAGCAGAGCCGGCACCAGCAGCCGCAGAGACAGAAGGGCCGCCACCAATGGAGTCCCTTCTGAACATGGACGATTTCGAACAAGTCGCCACCAAAAACATCAGCAAAAAGGCCTGGGCCTATTACTATTCCGCCTCAGATGACAAAGTCACCAAACACTTTAACACAGAAGTCTACCGGTCAATCCTTCTGCGCCCCCGCGTATTTGTGGACTGCACGAAGTGTGACCTGGATACGAAGCTACTGGGCCACAACCTGGGGATGCCGATCTATGTCTCCCCCGCCGCCATGGCGCGCTTGGGCCATCCCGCTGGCGAGGCAGGTATCGCGGAAGCGTGTCGCAGCTTTGGTGCGATGCAGATCGTCTCCAACAATGCATCGATGACCCCAGAGCAGATTGTGCAAGACGCCGCTCCGGACCAGGTGTTCGGATGGCAGCTATATGTGCAGGTGGATCGCAAAAAGAGCGAGGCGATGCTGGCGCGCATCAAGAAGCTCAAGGCCTTCAAATTCATCGTTCTCACTTTGGACGCTCCGGTGCCCGGCAAGCGCGAAGACGACGAACGCGGGAATGCTGTCGGGGCGTCGGCACCGGTTGCTAGCGCTGCGATGGCCGCGGACAAGAAGTCCTCGGATGACACGGCCCAATTAGGCGGCGTGGGCCGACAGCTCTTCGCCGGTACCGATCCTTCGTTGACGTGGAAGGAGACTCTGCCGTGGTTGGCGACGCAGACCGATTTGCCCATCATTCTCAAGGGTCTGCAGACGCATGAGGACGCTTACATTGCCTCCCTTCACACCCCACAAGTGAAGGGCATCATTCTGTCGAACCACGGCGGTCGCGCGCTGGATACTGCACCTCCGGCGGTGCACACATTATTGGAGATCCGCAAATACTGCCCCGAAGTGTTTGATAGGCTGGAAGTCTGGGTTGACGGCGGTATTCGCCGTGGCACAGACGTTGTCAAGGCTCTCTGTCTGGGTGCAAGAGGAGTTGGAGTTGGCCGTCCGGCACTCTGGGGTCTGGGTGCCGGTGGTGTTGAGGGTGTGAAGCGTACTTTGCAAAGTAAGACACTCCATTGATGCTTTGGCTACATTTGTACTAATCATCGATTCTAGTTCTATCCGACGAGACCAAGACTTGCATGCGCTTGCTCGGTGTCGAAAGGGTCGAGGACCTGGGCCCTCAGCATGTAAGTCCTTTCGCTTTCCCTTTCGCCGCATCCTTCTAACTCACAATTTCAAAACAGATCAACACCCGCATTGTTGAACAACAAATCTACAATGGTCCCTCAGGGCTCGACAGTGTACGAAATGTGTTCCGTGCCAAGTTGTAGACATATCATATAATGCAGCATGAACTTTCAACTTCGAACTTGTATAATCAACTTCGTAATTGTTCACCATGACCCATTTGAACCATTGATCAGTGTGCAGAACCGTCAGAGTCTAGAAACCAGGTAGGCTAATGATAATCGCCGATTTGTGTGCTTTTGTTCTGTCTATCCTGGAACATTTCAGTAACAAAGCATATTGCGATATTCCCTGTTATGTTGTTCCAGTTTGGCCTACGTGATCAATGGTATCAAACACTGGCATTGTTATATGCACAATGGCATGCACAGAGGCTTTGTCTGTGCGTATTTTGTGATTGTGCTGGACTGGGAGAGACGGCGTGACTCCACTTCCTTTGTCCCAAGTGCAAAGAGATCTTCCTTTTGCACCAACCTCCTACTCTACCCATCGGACAATAACTCTCCGTCTTCCAAGTGGGATTTCACGTTCTTGCAATACTAGAGGTCAAATTATCATCAACTCGGCAATCTCTCAACCGTCCGGTTGACTTTCCCTGGAGACACAGCCTGTCTTGCTGTAGAGTCCGAGTGTTGCTTCATTATCTGCAGTGTGAGGGATGCTGTTTCCCAACACCTCTCGACTCTGAGAGTTAAACCACCGTCTAAACTCTCAAGCAATCTAGCAACAGACTACGCTCCGCTCTTTTCAAAAGACTACGGGTGCAAGAAACAATAACAATGTCTTCGAAGAGCCAACTCGGGCCACTGTCTTTGCAGACGTTCGTTTGCCCATTGTCGTACAAGAAGGCTTTGTTTTTCTTTGTTTGGACTCACAATGTGAGTCACAGTTCAGCCAAAGATTCTTTGTCTCTTGTTCTTCCGCCTTCCACAAGGCCATTATCATTATCAGCTTTTCATAGCGGGGAGTCTCAACTCATTTAAGGTGATCAGTCCCCAGATAGCAGACATATTCCTCATAATTTCTGCATCAACAGAGGAACCCCGGCAGTTACTACCACCCTGATAAAGACCAAACCCAGCACTACTGCCAAACTTCCACAGACAACAAGAACCTATGTCGGAAGCGAAGAAAAGATCCTCGAGCCAAGCGGGGCTCAGCGATGAGGACTATGAGGACAGCGACTTCACTGTCCACAACGACAGCGACAGTCATTCAGACCCGGACAGCAATGACCAAAATGAGGGATTCAAGACTCGGCTGGTCAACGCCCTGCGCGAGGTCAGCGGCAACCGCCAGAAGACGGTCCCCTTGACGCCGCCGCCGGAAGTCGATGATGCAGGCATCACTGACGGACGACCGGACCGGGAGGCGGACCGTGACCCCGCGGCTGAGGCGGATGATGAGAGAGAGTCCTCGCCATCATCAGAAAACGGCGACGAGAGCGACGATGACAAGGAGAGTTGGCGCCCGGTGGAGGCGGACGACGAGTACGAGGAGCACCAAGATGGTGAAGATGAAGGCGAGCATCCCATGAACAGAGACGCAGCTTATGCGGTGGAAGGTAGCGGAAAAGACTACGTCCCGAAAAGAAAGATCAAAAGGCGCAGGAAGTATGAAGCAGAGGCCAATCATTCTGAGGCGATCCGCCAAAAGTACATCGAGATGCGGAAAACCCGCACCCCGATCGCTTGTGACCGTTGCAAGGTGGGTTCACTCCATTGGTGTTATTTCTTTCATTCTACTAGAAAGATAGAGTGATCGAGTAGGGCTGGCTGACCGTTGTTTTTTCTTTGCGTGGGAGCAGAACCTGAGGAAAGAGTGCACAATCGATGAGGAAGGCTGCCTCCAATGTCAGACCATCAAGATGCCGTGTATGCACACTGACCCAATCACTCTGATAACCGAGCGACGGGGGGCATCCAAGAAAAAGGATAGAACGATCCACGACCTGAAGGCTTACATTCTTAAGCTGCAAAGACAAGTCGCGGTTCAGCTGCACCCATATGGCCCCGTAAGTGTCTTATTCCTCACTCGATCAAGGAACCAAAGTCTAACATCAACATGCTTCCGCCGTCAAAGCCCCTGGGTCAATACCCCTTTCCACAGCATAGGCCGGACACTTCTCCCAACCCGCGTTCTCTCAGTCCACAGGGCAATTCGACACGATGGGGTCATGCCAGTAGCGGCAGCAGCGCAGAGAAGGGCTTGGCATATGCCAACAGCAACGGTTTTGCTTCCTCGAACAACCACAATAACATAGCTCCATCGAGGAAACATGGAAAGCGAAACGGTGATCACCCCCCAGTCACCAAGCCTCGTCCACATGGCAGTGGTAGCTCGGGCAGCTCTGGGGGTAAATCCGGGTACCTGGTCGAGTTGGACAAGAACATGGGTCCCGGTGGACGGGCCAAAATCAACAGCAACATGGAGAATTTTCTTGAGCGCGACCCGGATTATCAGAAGAAGGCTTACTTCCATTCAAGTTCTCCTCGACCGCGCCAGATGTCTGGTCCCGGTTACGGTTCTCTCTACCAGGACTACCACGAGTTCACCAACAACGCACACTATCCTCCGCCACTCCCCCTGCCGATGAGCACTAGTGCACACCGCATGTATGACCCTCCTTATATGAGTGACCCACGATATGGCCACCCTCAGCCGAGCTATGTCAATCATGCCCCCCAATATCCTACGCCGCCGCCGCTGCCGCCGCCGCACTTCCGCCCGTACCCTGAACGCGCCAACCCAGAGTATGAACACATGGACCCTCGTCATCACTACGATGATGGCCTGCGTTCGACTCTGGAGGCGGACAGGGATCCCTATTACGGCTTACCCGACGCCGGGCCGAGCGATTTCGGTGACGAGGAGTTGATACAGGCCTATAGGACTTTCTATCCAGAGGGTGAGTCTACTTCTGCGGGGGCGGCCGAGCAAGCCCGCGCAAGCCGAACTCGGCCCAAGTTTATACCTCGGGAAATGCCGCCGGGGAATCCGCCTCCCAGGCCAAGAAAGAAGTAAACAGAAGTTGGTTAATGCTTGTGATGTTATCTAGATGTTTAGCTCTCGGATCTGGTACGTTGCGCTAGGGTTTCATCGTGTTTTTGGATTTATACATACTGAGCAGATACGATATCTTATTGATGCGTGAATGATTACTGCATATTATGTACCTGTACTTTTTCCACCTCAAAGCTCGTAGACTACAGTTGCATCGGGGACGAATTCCAGACACCATAAACTTGCTGTGAATCGGGAGAATATGGTGATTGTATATTCAACATACGAAGGTATATGCCATCCAGCGAGTTCACCCATCAGTGGCCTCACAATCACCGTAATCATGCCGATTCAAAGACAGACTTGCTCAGCTCACTCATGACCTTCAACCACGTATTCACCCAAGTGGTGAACTTGTCCCCCTTCTCCTCGCCCGTCGTTCCCTGCTGCCAAGGCAACTTGACCAGCTCCAGAGCCGTGACAGCCCTGTCCTTGGTCTGCCCCAGGAACCGGCCCGACTTGTCCGGGTTCGCCTCGTACAACGCCCCGGCAACCTCATCCACGAGCTCCGGAATCAAGCGGAGATTCTCCATCAACGCCTCCAACTTGCCCACCTCCGCCACCGCATCCGCCGTCTTCTTGAGCCGGTGCGTCACGATCGCCGGGTACACCTGCGCGATAGGTTTCAACACGCGCAGCGTCGACTTCTTCTGCGCATGCAACGCCTTCGACTCTTCCTCATCCTCAGCCTCCCCCTTTGTATCTTCAGCATCATCTTCCTCATCACCGTCATCATCACTCAACAACTCATCGAAAAACTCATCCCCCTCCTCGTCGGGATCCCACTCCTCGATCTCCCCGACAGCATCCCGCACCAGATCCCGCCACTGCTCCACCCGCCGCACCACGAACCCCACCACCCCCTTGGCCGCCAGATCCACCAGCGCGTCGCACGACTCCCACGCCCGCGCCGCCGCCAGCGTCACGGCGTCTTTGTCGGGTTGCGCCAGCTCTCCCTTTTTTGAGGGGGCATCACTCCTGCTCGCGATCCTCTGCACCTCCTTCAGCAAGACTGCCAGCTCCGTCAGCGCGAGTCGGGTGAGCGCGTGCGCCTCGGTCTGGAAGGCCTGCGTGTGATCCGTGGCCGTGATGAGGAGGGCGGCGGTCACGAGCGAGGGGAGGACGGATTCGTTGAGGGCGGTTAGGATTGGGACGGCGGCGGTGGGGGTGAATGGGGCCGTGATGGAGACGAGCGAGAGTTTAGTGATTTGGGATTTGAGGGACAGGGAGGAGGCGGAGAGGAGGGGGAGGGCGTCTTTGGTGATGATTGTTTCGGTTGTTGTGGTAGTTGGGGAGGGAGAGGATGCGTTGGAGGTTGTGATGGCGGTTTGGAATTGGTCGAGGAGGGTTAGGGTGGTTGTTAGCGTGAGGTGGAGTTTTTGCGCCATTGTTGTTGTTGCTTGTTGTGCTGTTGCGGTGCTTGTCACTGTGGTTTTTGGGCGGTTGTTTGGTGGGTAGGGCGGTGGATGGGGGGTTTGAGTATAGTAGGAGAATGGATTTTGGTGAGGTTGATTTTTTCTCCGCGTCCTCGGATCTGCGGAAAGTTGATGAGGATGGGAGAGGAACACGAGGAAGTTGTGGAATGGTCCAGGTTCCAAATTCGTCGGGGTTATTCGTATATGAGGCTGCAGGGGTGGAGGGGAAAGTTTTGCGATGGTGGGGTGAAAGTCCGCGGAGGATCACGTGAGGGGCTTTCCACCCATTGACACCTCAGGCAGGATGGTTCGAAGTATTGTCGGCTGGAAGCGAGCCAGCGGCCACGGTGGTTATTAGTTACTACTACAGGTAAATTTATGTATAAAGTTGTTTGTTCTACTGCACCTGTGTCTTCTTGCAATCGAATTTCACTGTATGGAGCCTGTAGCACAGCCTAGCAGTAGCAATTGTTCAAATCTCTCATTCTTTGCTGCATCGAATCAATTGAACTACTTCTCAGCTTCTACTACGGAGATAACCACACGAGTAGATGCAGCAAAGTACGTATCTGAGGCCGTGCCTACAGCCCGCAAGCCGGTAGGCAGCAGTACAAGAAGAAAACGCTTTCGGAAGTCACCGTGCCTAAAGTATCTCAGTTTCTTGACCGTGAGCGTGATCACATAACCAGTACCCGCTGTACCTCAACCGAGTGAGATGTTTCCATATTGGTGGATGAATAGGTGAATACAGTTAAGCTCTTCAAGAAGTTCGATAAGCGAGACTGCAGTGAGAGGTCTATTAAGAGGCCAAGTTCAGTGTTGCAGTCAATTCTATGCGATATATCTATCATACTTGACAGAGTGTGGCTGGTGGCAATTGAATGGTTAATGTGAGGGTGGTTAATGATAAGGAAATCGGGAGATGCAAGTACGTATGTCATCATGCCAGAATGAAAATATGGCATAGTAAATTTAAGCAATGGCCAAGTCAAAATAAGGAGGGGTTATGCCATTACCGGCTTGGCCCGACTTAAGCGTGATAAGGGCAGCATTAGTAGAGAGTGTTTCTCCCCACTCCAGCCTGTCAACCACCAACCTTTTCGCCCACACTTACATTTCATGCCACTCCAGCCCAAGAAACCTGAGAGCTAGAATGTCCCCACCGGAGGCAAACGAACCAGTAATTCCCTATCAGTCTCAAGAAGCCGAGGTAGGGGTCACAATCGAGCTGGTCAAGCTCCCCAAACTGCTTTTCGTCGCGATCGTCCTGTGCTTGGCCACTGTGTGCGTCGCAGTAGACAACACCATACTATCCACTGCGGTCCCTCAAATCACCGACGCTTTCGACAGTATTGACGATGTGGGCTGGTATGCAGCGTATGTTCTGCCAACTCTTGCATCGCTAACCCTGCGGGATCGACTCGAATAATGAGGAAGATTGTAATAGAATATACCCCTTAACCTCGTGTGCATTCCAGCCGTTCTTCGGCAAGGTCTATTCGCTTTTTTCCAACAAAGTTGTCTTTCTGGCCGCACTACTGGTCTTCGAGGTCGGGAGCGCTATTTGCGCTACAGCACTGAACTCCAATATCTTTATCCTTGGACGAGCTCTGGCAGGGCTGGGGTCCGCTGGGATCTCTGCCGGCACAACCCTGATTCTGGCCGAGTGCGTCCCGCTGGCACGGCGACCGACATGGAATAGCATCATCGGCAGTACCTTTGCGCTCGGGAGTGTCGCTGGACCTCTGCTGGTATTGCCCATGTGCTACCCGACATTGATAACTGTCACAGCACTCTGATACCGCAAGCAGGGCGGAGCCTTCACCGAGAAAACAACCTGGCGTTGGTGTTTCTACATCAATCTGCCCATCGGGGGCGTAGTCATGCTCTTCGTGACATTCTTCTATCAGAGCAATTCGAGTACTACACGAGCCTCGACTGGACTATACAGCCGGATTGCCCGATTCGACGTTGGCGGCACCATCACCTTAATTCTCGCCACGATTTGCCTTCTCCTCGCGCTCTCCTGGGGCGGAACGAAATATGCCTGGGACGACACCTATATCATTGTTCTGCTAACAGTGTCCGGGATTCTCTTCTGCGTGTTCGCCGGCATTGAGCGATGGATGCAAGATAGCGCTGTTATCCCCTTACGATTGCTACGCAGGCGAAGCATGGGTGCTGCGATCCTGTTCAGTCTCTGTCTTGGGGGTGTTTTCTTTGTAGGTGCTCGATACGCAACCCTAAGAAGCTCCTGGCTGACCAAGATCTCACATCTCACTACTGTTCCAGGTCAACGTTTATTATATACGTGAGTCACAAAACTCGCTAAAGTGCTCCACTACCATCACTAACCCAAGCCTCCAGCACTCTGGTTCCAACTAGTTGACGGAATCTCAGTCGTCGACTCGTCCATCATGTTCATCCCGTTCATGTGCAGTGTCGTCGGCGGGTTTGTATGTGCCGGCTTCGGAACCGCCGCCACAGGATACTACACGCCGTTCGTCTACGGAGGCTCGATCCTCATGTCGGTCGGGACGGGTCTGATCGCGACGGTACGCCCGCACCAGACCCCGCGCGCCCGCTGGATCGGGTATCAGATCCTGTGCGGCGCCGGCATCGGTCTGGGCGAAGAGCAAGGCCTCTACATGGTGCAGACCACTCTTCCCGAAGAGGATGTCGCCACGGGTCTCGGGATCGTCCTCTTCGCGCAGACGTTTGGGGGTGCCGTCTTCGTGTCCGTGGCGCAGGCGGTGTTTCTGGAACATATCACCGCAGCCCTGCGGACGCTTGCGCCCGATGTGGACCCTTACTCGGTGCTAGGGGGCGCGTCGACGGCTACGTCTCCCGCGCTGCAGAGTGTGTATGCCGTGGCGATTAAAGATGCGCTGCGTGTGGGGCTGGTTCTAGCCACCGTGTCGAGCCTGGGGGCTCTGCTGTATGACTGGCACAGTCTGAAGAGGAAAGGTGAGGATGGGAGTAGCAGTGGTCATGAGCTGGCGTTTGTAGCACAAGGTTCGGATGGAGGACAGGGGAAATAAGGATTGACAGTACGATGTCTTCGGATAGGAAGCTTGTTCATGGTTGGCCTCGGGGGAGGGACTATAGTTGCACATAGAGAAGAAAGCTGAGTAGCTGAGTAGTAGTGCTTGTAATATGCCTGTCAAGGTGAGGTGATCAAATCCAACGTTGAAGTATTGCTGTTCCATAGTGTTGTGCTCTTAGAGATCTGTAGACTATAGACTATTGCACCATTGCCTACCCTGATTGCCCCTCCAGCTACTCGGAAGTCGGTCGGGATGACTGGTACATATGAAATTATGCATGAGCGAAGCTGTAGGTCTGGCGTATGTGGAAGGGTGGATATTGCAAAGAGACGGAGGCCAAACTCGATAGTGCCCGGGGTCTGTACCGACTCGGATGCCCTAAAGCATATAGGAAATCTCAACTTTACCAACCACATCTAACGTGGATAAAACCTCCCTTGCATTCAACTCACTGTTGATGCCTTTATTTCATCAGCTCCCTGCCGTTACACCCACCCTCCTAGGCTCCTCCGTCTTCGGCACCAGCGTGAACTTCCTTCCGCACCTCGGCTTACCTTCCCGAACCCTCGGAAACACGGTCGTAACACCGCTGATAGAGCTGGATTCCACGACACTGACGCAGGCCCCACCTCAGGCAGATCGCGGAGCTCATCAACGACCGCATCCGACACGTCTCTCGCAGATACGGGAACTGGGGAGGTGGATCGCCGCGCAGCCCGACACGTCCCGGATTCACCTGAACTTTTCCAGTGACGTCGGCGGTCCCGTTCATCGTGACGGGGTGGCATCGTTTTCCGCTGTACTCGGGCGCGGAGATGGATGGCGGGGCGCCATCGCTGGCTTGTCCGGTGTTTATGGATGCGTTGTTTTATGGGATGGTGTATTTTGTGGAATTGAAGGTCAGGGACGGTGGGGTGGAGGCGGGGGCTTCGCTGCGGAGGTCGACCTGGGCGTTTTTAGGGCGGGATGAGGGGTTTGGTGCGGCGTGGGACAGGGTGTAGTTGGTGTGTTGAGGGGGAGGATTGGCCAGGTATAGATCGCTCTGCCCTTAGATTAAGGAGCTCCTGGGAATGACCCGTCATTCTGACTCTTGCTGAACATCTTCTTCCATCAGGTGCAGCCAGTTTCTTTGAATTTCAGCGTTGGGGTATGGAACGTGCCAGGCCTCGCATTGAAAAAATACCTTCCCAGTGTTATTGGAGGAACGTGTTAACTAGTTGAGATGTTACTGGCTATGAAAGAGAGATACTAGTGCAGTAGTCGTCCTATTAGGTATAGTATCTGTATTGGAGTAGATAACTGGTCTAGTAGCCTTTTACTGATCAATATACCTTAATTAGCCTTCAAATCTACAAGTATATCCCTAGAACTATACATTATATCTTGTATTATCTTTATACACAGAGGCAAAAAGGGGTCTATTTACATGAACATACCCTAACCCTAGACATCATGTTACAGAAGTATATATCCTAGGTAGCCACATAAGTAAAACCTTCGAAATCTGTAAAACATAGCGGGCCGAGGGGGTAAGTTACAGTGGTTGTACTGCGGTTTTCTCCGGTTATATCGAGTTTTAATAAAGTTGTATAAAGTTCTGACTAATTATAAGCCCTTTAAATCTAAGAGTACTAATTTTTATATAAATAATAGATTATACTAAAACTATATTTTTTTAATTAGATCTTAAGTAGTTTTTATACTATTTTACTATTATAATATACTTTAATCTTAGAGTTATACTAACTGTTGTTTTTCTATTTATATTTATTTATAATAGTAATTTAAACTGTTAATATAACTGTTCTACTCTGTAAATTAAAATATAAGTAAGTATAATCTTATCTAAATCTTATTAAAAATAAATATAATCTTATTTAAATCTTACTAAAAATGAATATTATCTTATCGAAACTTTACTTTGCTATTTACTTTTTTCTTAATATAGTTTTTCTGATTTTTATATATATAATTATTTACTAAAAAATAAAATCTCTTTTTTATATAATATATCTTAACTTTTATATTTTTTATTATTTATTTTTTTATTTTTTATATTAATTTTTTTCTATTTTCTTATTCTTTATACCAGCCTTCCTCTATCTTTTTAATTCTATATTAATCTTTTTTTATTTTCTTATTCTCTGTATTAATCTTTTTATTTTTTTTAAATATATTTTAAAGTCTGTATTCTCAATATTTTTAATATCTATTTTCTTTTATTTATAAAAAAAATAAGTAAAACTAAGTTCCAGCTTCTATTTCAGCTTTAAAATTAAAATTTTAATATCTTTTTATAAATAGTTTTTAAAATTACAGAGCAACTGCTAGTAATTTTTTATAATATATAATAATATTTCTTTTTTTTATTTTAATATATAATAATTTTTTATAATATACAGTAATTTTCTATAATATCCAGTAATATAATCAGACTGTATAATAAATTAATCTATTTATTAAATATATATAAAAAGCTTTTAAATAATATATATTTAGATAATAATAATAGAAATAAAAATAAGTAAGTAATAGAATTTAATTTTAGAAAAGAATATATAGAATTATAAAAGATATTATATTTAATTTTATATAAATTATAGCTTAACTAGCTGAAGTTACTATTAATTAAGTTATATTAAATTAAACTATAAAATAACTATTTAAAATATATAAAAAAAAAGAAAAAAATATTTTATTAAAAATAGTACAGAAGTATCTGGTCTGTAGTAAGATAAATAAATAGTAATAATTTTTAATATTTATTTTAAATAAATAAAATTAGAATAAAGCTGATTATTTTATTTATTTTTTATAAACAGTAAAATATATTAATAAAATAAATTATAAAAAATATTTTCTTCCGACGGAATTTAAATAATAATAAAAAAGAAAAGACTGTCTGAAAGATTTATATTATTTTTATTATAATATATTTATTTAATTAAATCAGCTAAAAGTCAGAAGAAACTTCTGTTTTTAAAACTATTTATTTCAAAAATAAATAAAATAATTAAAAATATTAAGTATTAGACTAATATAAAAAATTTCTATAGTAGATATAAATCTATATAAGACTAAAAAATCAGATTATTATATTAAGAAGAAGAGAAAGATAAATATAGAAAAAATAGTAATAAAATTATTAAATAATATAAAAGATTTAAAAATTAGAGTTTTTAAATTAAATCTTAGTAAGAATAAGTTCTAATAGTGAGCTGAGGTTCTAAATAAAAAAAAACAGTTCAAATTATTTTATAAATTAAATATTTATAATCCGATCGAGTCTTTCTAACTAGCAGTAAAAATTAATTAAATACTAATATTAAATAAGTTAAAAAATATTTTCAAAGCTGAAAGATTAATTAAAAAGATATATAAAAGTAAAAAAATAAAAATAGTATTAAAAAGTTTGCTAAAAATATCAGAAATAATACTTTTAAAATATTAAAATATTTAGATATATCTGATTTTAAAGCTCTACTAATAATAAATAAGAAAGATAATTTAATAAAAATTATTTTTAAAAAGTTTAAAAAATTAGAGTAAATCCAGCAGTTTATTAATAATCTTAATTATTAAAAAAAAAACTATAATAAAATCTATTAAAATTTTAAGATCGAAGATCCGGTATATCTATATTTACCAAATATAATTATATTTATAATATTAAAATTTTAATAATTTATTAGAATTTAGATTATTATTAAAATTATAATATAAAAAGTAATATAGAAAGTATTACTAGCTGATATAATTAGATTAAAAAAAATATAATAATCTATTAATATTATTTTTATAATAAATAATTAAAAAGATTTTGGTATTAGGCTTTTATAACTGATTTTTAAAAATATATAGTATATTTTAGAAAGAAGGCTGAATCTGGGGACGAATTTACTGCAGAAAGACTAAAAAAACTGATTCTAATATTAATATTATTATATTTAATTTATTAATAGTAGATTAAGATTTTAAATATTATAAAATAGTTAGTACTGTATATATACTATAAAAAAATATAAAGCCGAAAGAATATTAAATAAATTAATAATAAACTAACAGTTAACTATAAAATTTTTACTAAATAAAAATAATATCTAATAATTATATTAAATAGTTATAATATATTTAAAAGCTGCTATAGTATTTCAGATATCAAATTCTAATATATATATAAATATAAAAATAAGTTTAAAAATAAAGAAAATTATCTAAAAAACTATTCTAATAATATTAAAGATTATTTCGGGCTTATTATTCTAAATAAAACTTATAATCTATATAATAAAATATTAGAAATATTTTAAACTATATAATAGGCCAGAGGCGACTTTAATCTTTTATTTATAATAATATTTTTTTTAATAATTATAATAATAATTTTATTAAATATTTATAATTATTTTTTAAAAAATATTTAATATTTAAAATAATAGAACCGGCAGCTGTAAAAAAGACTCTAACTGTATTTTTAAATATTTATTATATAAATTTTATTTTCAGCAAAACTTTCTTTAAAAAATATATTATTTATATAGATTTAGATAAAAAGATGTAATCAGTACAGTTCTGTATTTTTTTAAAATATTTAATAATTTAAAAAACTTTTATTTTTATAATTCTATTTAAAAATAATCGGATAATCAGTAAGAATATCTTTTTTATAGTATATAAAATATTTAATATAAAATTTAATTTTAAAAAATAAAAAGTTTATAAAATTTATTAGATTAAAAATTATTATATTATAATATTAGATCAGTCAGACAGAAAAAATCTATAATATTAATAAATTATAATATATTTTTATTAGTTGATTTTAAAAGTTTTATAATTTAGTATAATTCTGCTTAAGCTGACTCTTCTAAAAACAGATTTTCTTAAAGCAGTTAATTTATAAAAAAAATATAAACTAATATTTAAATAGATATAGTATTTATAAAAATAAATATAAATTAAAAATACTGCTACTGTTAAGATATTCTATATAT